TTATTTACTACCAAAATACCATCACCATTAAATATTGTTTACGTGAACACATTTTTCTTGATTTGACACCCCCCTGAAACCTAATATTGGACTCGCCAAATGTCCTGGACAATGACCCTTAGTGTCCAGTTGAAAACGTATAAATAGTTGAGTGGGTTGTGGCAGAGCAACGGCGTCCTTGTCGTTGGACATCCTCCACGACTCACGAGGCAAGAGTTCAACATGGCACCGATACTTTCGTTGCTTGCGTTCTGTTTGGTGGTAAGTTTGTGTCTTGTTAGTTGATTTCTTAGTTATTTATCACCCGGTGCTGCTATATGGCCACACATATTTTTGGTACTGCTCCTAGCATCTGTTGTGGTATACCGCTTGGCTGCGATATCTGCACCTTTTTGGACCAACATTTTTTTTATTTCAGCGTGGTCTGAATTCGTGTCCCTTTATGACAGTTTGGCTCGCTAACAGTTTAGTTATTTGGCGAAAAAAGCCGGATTTGTTTAAAATTTAAGCTGGCTCCCAGGTCGACCCTCGCTTAAATGGGTAATAGGTAAAGTCCTAAGAAGCTGAGCTCCATTAAACATCCAGTGCCGAAGGGCCTGCACAGTATAGATCTAGCACGATGTGCACAGTATAGATCTAGCACGATGTGCACAGTATAGATCTAGCACGATATGCACAGTATAGATCTAGCACGATATGCACAGTATAGATCTAGCACGATATGCACAGTATAGATCTAACACGATATGCACAGTATAGGTCTAGCACGATATGCACAGTATAGATCTAGCACGATATGCACAGTATAGATCTAGCACGATATGCACAGTATAGATCTAGCACGATATGCACAGTATAGATCTAGCACGATATGCACAGTATAGATCTAGCACGATATGCACAGTATAGATCTAGCACGATGTGCACAATTTAGATTTAGCACGATATGCACAATAGAGATCTAGCACGATATGCACAGTATAGATCTAGCACGATATGCACAATAGAGATATAGCACGATATGCACAATAGAACCAAGGACGCAAGAAAGGCGCATTTATTTTGACATGTTTTGTTGTAGGGCAGTGGATCTGTCGTTATCTGTCCAAATGAGGCCTAAGAATCCACGTGGATTGAAAACGTGTTCAACAAACTAAGTAAAGTATTACCATGTAGAGCTAAACTAAACTGCGTTCCTAAACTGCCGGTCGCGACCCCTTTAAAAATGGAGCGACCCTTTCACAGGGGTTGCTTAAGACCGTTGGAAACACATATTCATTAAAGTTATAGAGGGAAATAATAATTGTTTTGGGAGTCGCCACATCACGAGGGACTGTATAATAGGGTCGCCACATCATTGTATTATAGGGTCGCCACATCATGAGGGAACTGTATTATAGGGTCGCCACATCATGAGGGGCTGTATTATAGGGTCGCCACATCACGAGGGAACTGTATTATAGGGTCGCCACATCACGAGGGACTGTATTATAGGGTCGCCACATCATGAGGGAACTGTATTATAGGGTCGCCACATCATGAGGGACTGTATTATAGGGTCGCCACATCATGAGGGACTGTATTATAGGGTCGCCACATCATGAGGGACTGTATTAAAGGGTCGCCACATCATGAGGGAACTGTATTATAGGGTCGCCACATCATGAGGGACTGTATTATAGGGTCGCCACATCATGAGGGAACTGTATTATAGGGTCGCCACATCATGAGGGAACTGTATTATAGGGTCGCCACATCATTGTATTATAGGGTGGCTACATCATGAGGGAACTGTATTATAGGGTCGCCACATCATGAGGGAACTGTATTATAGGGTCGCCACATCACGAGGGAACTGTATTATAGGGTCGCCACATCATGAGGGAGGGAACTGTATTTATGAGGGAACTGTATTATAGGGTCGCCACATCATGAGGGAACTGTATTATAGGGTCGCCACATCATGAGGAACTGTATTATAGGGTCGCCACATCATGAGGGAACTGTATTATAGGGTCGCCACATCATGAGGGAACTGTATTATAGGGTCGCCACATCATGAGGGAACTGTATTATAGGGTCGCCACATCATGAGGGAACTGTATTAAAGGTTCGTGACATTAGGAAGGTTGAGAAGGTCTAGAGAGAAAAACAGCGCATCAAAACAGATGTAGAAATAGTCAAGATTATATCCCCCACCCTCCAAACACCACGCCCCTGACACCACGGCTTTCCCCTTTCCTCCTAAAATTAAATTGAAAACACATACAATAGGAAAAAAATATATAATTAAAGTAAACAAATCACTGGTATCAAAATAAAAGTTGTGGATAGATGTGTGGCTACAAAAACATCGACATAATTATTTAAAAATTGCATACAATAAAAAAACACCCTTGAAACATTAAAATTATCACATATAACGAACACTCAGCGTGACCATTTGTACCAGACAACGTGACAGTTAACAAGCAATTAGAACACCAATGAATTTTTCGAGAATTGAATACACAGAAGAAAAAAGAACGAAATAAAGAAAGAAGGAAAGAAAGAAAGAAAAAAAGAAAGAAAGAAAGAAAGAAAGAAAGAAAGAAAGAAAGAAAGAAAGAAAGAAAGAAAGAAGAAAGAAAGAAAGAAAGAAGAAAGAAAGAAAGAAAGAAAGAAAGAAAGAAAGAAAGAAAGAAAGAAAGAAAGAAAGAAAGAAAGAAAGAAAGAAGAAGAAGAAGAAGAAGAAGAAGAAGAAGAAGAAGAAGAAGAAGAAGAAGAAGAAGAAGAAGATGAAGAGGAAGAAGAAGAAGAAAGAAGAAGAAAAAGAATAGGAAAACGAATAGGAAAAGGAGGAGAAAAATGAGAAAAATTTAGCAATAAAAAACAAAGACAAACAAGTTATATTGTCTTTAGAAACTTTTAAAACTAAAAACATAGTATGTTTACCAAACCGAAAAAAATATAAGCAATTAAATTCTTATTTTCTCGTATTAGGAGGTAGGTGTGTTGATTTAATTATTATTTAAGGACTTTAAGAATGTTTAATTACTAGTTAGTTAACAGGTAATATTTGATAATTTATTATTTAATCCAAGCCTGTCGTATTTAATTATTTAGCAACGGTTTGTGGAAGACATGTCTTAACTAGAGCGGGTCGTGCTAGTCATGATCGCCATCGCCATGGGCTATGATTCCCACGCTTTCCCTTACTAAAATGTAACAGAAGTGTCTGGAAAAACTGAAAACTGGAAAACAGCTTCATGTCGTTTATTGCTTGTGATTTGGGGGAAAATGTGTCTTCTCTCCCGCACTTCTCTTCAAGCTTTTTTTTTAAAAATTGCATCAACATGATTAAGATGTTTTCCTTGTAATGAAAAGAATTTTTTTTTCACGAGAACTCTCGCCTGCGGTTCAAAATGTCGTGGGTTCAGATCCTGACAGAAACGTTACTTAGGCTCCCAGGTCGACGCAGTCTTATATGGGCAGAAAAAAAATCATAGAAAGTAAAGGCGGTCGGCGTGATGTTAACTACATCACCCACCGAGTGCCGACTGGTCTATACAAATAGAGGTCTAGCCCTATATGCCTAATACGCCTGAAGGCGAGGGCAAGGGTCCTTTACTTTACTATAATTTACTTTCTCCACGAGGTGTTATTGTGCGACACCTATACTTCGTGTCCGAACTGTCTGCTAGTGTCCCTCTGCCAATTGCTAACAGTCTAACGTGTGTTATAAACCAACCGTGAGCTTGCCACTTGGTCATCCAGGTATGCTGACTGATCTTATAGGCTACCGCAGCGATTATGTAAATAAACTTCGAATCTCACAGTACCGGTTGCATAGTCACCATTTTTGTCTTGTCCCTGTCCGAGAACATCCGGTAATACGTGCAGCAGGAGCAGAACAAGCCTGAGCTTCATGAACTCAGGTGGGCCCACCCTCTGAGATTGTCTAGGAGCTCATGGGCGGAAACATTTGTGGACGAGAGATCACTTCTACTGATGATTGGTACACTCCTGCTGTACATGCTCCCCTGTAGAGTTTCTTCTTACCCATAGACCAATCAGCACGCTGTGTGTGATGAGCTGCCGCAGTAACATCACTGGACGTTTCATGGTACCTTGGGTCGACTGAGGAGACTTGGTCAGATTTGAAAGAAAAAGAAAATCTGGCTTTTTCAAATTTGAAACCACGCTTTTGGGATCCACAAGCGAGAATCTAGCCGCCACACCACAATTGCTCCCTGTCATGAAATAATCAAAGGAATTTAACATTTTTTTTTTTCTGATGCGAGTAAATATTTCTCCATGCAAATTAATTAATTTCTTCCTGTCCTAATTTCCTTAATATCCACTTTTCGCTAAAACAGAATTTCTAAAACTTTTTTACCATTGTGTACAGATGTGTTGTTTACACTCTACGATTCAGTCTCTCACATTAAAACCGTCTCTATATCAACATCATAAGAATAACGAGTTACACAACCTTGCTCATAACACAGCTCGCCTGAAAGAAACTTTGTCTGTCGCTAATCTCACCCGTCTCTTGCACTTTCTTACCTAAGATGTTAATATCCTGCTCTCATCTCTGTACTGGTCTGCTCCAGTCCGTATTTCTCGGCACTATGCCTACTGCTATCATTGTTTCCAATCCACAGTGACGTGTGATGTAGCTAAAATATTTCAGTTGTCGAGACAAGATACTGTTTACCAGCTAATCGTCTTTGAGGTTGATATCTTTTAGAATGTCAGTGTATCTTGTTTTGTTGGTCGAATGTATTCTGAGAAACTTTCTATAGCAATTCAGGTCAAAAGCCAATATTTACCTCCTCAGTAAATGCGAGATAATCAATGACTCACGTCCGTGTGTTGCTACAGGAAAGATGCATGCTCCTAAAATCTTAAAATTGATTTCCTTGTTGGTGCTTAGCTATAGCCTGTTAATGCTTGTCTCTTTATTAGGATTACACATTCATCTTAAAGTGCTAAACTATATTATTTCTAATTTCCAGTTGGCGACAAGCAGTTCTCTGCTGGTAAGGAAAGATGTTTTTGACCTGACCCCCGAGGAGGTGCTCAGTCTGCAGAAAACTCTCAGGGAAGTCAACAGGGATACATCACCCAAAGGTTATGCTGCCATCGCTGCCTACCATGGCTATCCGGCCCAGTGCAAGCATGGCGACAAAGACATCGCATGCTGCGTCCACGGAGAGCCCGAATTCCCACAGTGGCATCGTCTGTACGTCGTACAGTTGGAGCAGGCACTCAAGGAGAAAGGTACTAGCGTGTAAAATGGTATTTACTGATTCTAGGTCAGGTCTAGGTCCTTTTCCCACGCCTTTGGCCTTTTAGGCATATAGGGCTAGACCTATATTTTATAGATAAATCGGGACTTCTTGGGTGATGTGGTCAGCATTAAGCCGGCCGCCTCCTATTGCCAAGACCACATCTGGTACCCGCTTAAGACTGGGTCGACTTTGAAGCCAAAGTACTTTTGAAAATAAATGTCTGGCTCCGTCAGGATCCGAACCCACGACCTCCAAACCCGTTGGCGAGCTACCATACTGCGGCAACTCCAAGTTATAGCAGCTAGACACTCGTGTTCCTTGCTGAATTCTGTGTACTGCATGTGTATGTTATTGTTTATCTTTACCTTAATGGGAACATAGTCCTTACTGGCATATCAATGCGTCTCACCAGACTGCTGTGGCGGTTCAAGGACCTGTTTAAAAGCCATCAGACTTGCTCGACATATACTGTGTGACCTATATTTTTTAGACCAATCGGCACTAGGTCGATTACGCGGTTAAAATAACACCGACAATCTTTACTTTCTTTCTATGACATTACCTGATACCTTTTTAAGGATGAGGTTAACTTGGAGCCAAGGTAATTTTTGAAAGAAAACAAAAATCCGGCTTCATTGGGATTTGAGAACACTACCTTCAGATATTCAGGTGAGCACTCAGACGCTACACCAAGTCGGCTTCCGCTGTTGACGTTAAAGGTGCCCTTATTTTACTAGCTTGAATAGGGTATCGGCGATTTTCCCTGTTGATCTGCACTTTAGAATAAGACGTGATGTTAAACCTTCAAGTAGCAGCCGGGTTTGAATTCCAGCCAGTCATGGGTTGTTCCTTGTATTGTCTCCAGCCGATGTGCGGAGGAAATCCAAAGTCCAGTCTTGCTTTCTGTTTCAGTTTAATTATCGTTGCTTTCATGTTTTCGTTTTCTCTCAGCTAGTCCTTTTGCGACAGTTTTTTTTTTTTTTTTTTATCTTTACTTGAGATGTCAAAATGGTGGTACTGTCAACGTCTGCTGACAGTAAAAGGTTTTCTCTCTCTCTTTCTCACCCCCCTCCCCCCCCCCACCCCACCAACCCACCCTCCTCCCATTGAAGACAAACAATTTAGGGAGCATTACGCTTTCAACTGTCTACAATACTCTCAACATTCCACAACAAACAAGTAATAAACAAAAATCATTCTTCGTTTCCAAACATTTTCTCATCAATCTGTTGATTGTCCGCATCTCACTTCCGCACACTCGGATTTGCTCAAAATGGCTTTCTAGAACACCACCGCTTTTTTGTTTTTCTTGTCTAATTTGACGAAGAAATATTACATAGATTACTCGTTTTCCCGTGAATGGTTTGAGTTTGGTTGGGTTTTTCTGCCTTTATCGTTTGTACGTGCATTTTCTGTCTTCTGTTTTATATTCATACTTGTGACTAGCTCTGTTTATTATAAAAATCGGTATTCATTGTCCAGACTAGCTTTGTATGTTTGATGTTTTAATTTATAATATGCATTAGTGTTTCCTAACACACAAAAAAAACTAACCACCCGTTAAATGAGATGTTTGAGAAGAGCCCTCAACAAAACTAGAAGATATCATGTGAGAAACGACGCAATTACAAGAATTATCGAAATACATTTATAATTAAATTAATTGAAAATGAAAGACCATATAATGGCCATTTCTTGGGAATAAGTCTAAAGATGCCAGCAACGAGATTAGAAAAACCATGAGGTAGGGGACGAACAATAGGATTGTTTGAAGGAGTCGTTGATACCTTAGGACTCTACAACGTCACTGCATACCGGGTAACTGAGCGTGCCCTAGCTCGGATACCGATCATCAGATAACCTGCGACGCAAAGTGGTCAAGAGCAGAATATGGACAAAAGAAAACAAATGTGTATTTACTGGAGTTAATATGTCATATAGATTAGCAACCTTCCATGAGGTTCAAGAAGTGATTTCCTTGACTTTAAACCATTTTTAGTTTTGGTAATGTTTGTTATTTTAGTCCAAATTATTCATTTTTGGGCTTCGTAATGGGCTGATATCATGTTAGTGTTCTACCATAAAACGAACTGCCCCCGTGGTGTATTGGCTAGATACTCGCCTACACATCCGAAGGTCGTGGGTTCAGAATCGCATTGTGTCAGTTTTTTTCCCCAACTTTAAACATGATCTTGGCTCCCAGGTGGATCCAGCCTTAAATGGATACCAGGTATTGTCCTGGGAAGTAAAGACGGCCGGCGTGGTTTTAACAAATCATCCATCGAATGTCGATTGATCTATACAAAAATGAGTCTCACCCCATTTGCCAGAACTGATAATAGCGTGCAAAAGGATCTTAACTCTTCTTGTTAATGCACAAAACAAAAAAAAAAAAAAAAAAAAATAATAAGATTGTACAATTTAATGTTTGTGTTGGCTTTAGTTACGTTTCTTTTTGTCACCAGGCACACGCTTTAGTATTTCTGTTACCTATTCTAATATTTCATATTTATCGTTTCCATCAAACATAAGTATTAATTTTCTGACTGAATGAGCTATTTTGGCCATGTTAAACGTCATAGTGGCCCCGAAAGAACGGCGATGGAAAAATAACCAGAGGCAGATTGAAAAATGTGGAGAGAATTCATTGAAGATGTAATGGCGATGAAAGCACATAGGGCTGGAGTGTTGGCTAAAGAAAGAGAGATTTGCTAGCTTGCAATGCAGAGAGCGCTGTTCTGTGAAGAACCTGATAGTGAAGAAAAGTAAAGATCCATTTTCACGCCTTAGGCGCATCGGGTATATGGGAAGAGCGTCCCTTACTTTTACAGACCAATCGGCACTGGACGGGTAATGTGATCAGCATTACGCCGGCCGTCTTTACTTTCGCAGGACAGCCATCCTGGTACCCAATTTAGGCTGGGTCGAACTGCGACGCCCCATACCGCGATAAAAATCCACGCAGCCAGCAGTTGGGTTTCGATCGCGGTACGTTGGATTACGAGTTGGAATTGCAACTCCTAAGCCACGGAACGCCTCGAAGGACCTGATGACTGATGGATTATTCTGAAAGAGACTAATAGTTCATTTTGGTCACCTTCCAACAGGTCTGAGCATCGGTATTCCATATTGGGAGTGGACCCGTCCTTTGACCCAACTGCCGGACCTGGTCAGTCAGCGAGTCTTCATTGAGCAAGATGGCGGAAAGGCCAGGAACAACATCTGGTACCAGGGTCAGATCCAGACTCCAGAGGGAGTGAAGACTACCGCTCGAGCTGTGGACCCCAGGCTGTTCCAACAGGTAAGTTCACATCACAGTTGGAGTACAATCATAACTGTCATCATCATCATCATCATCATGATCAACCTCATCATTATTATCCTCTTCATCATCATCATCCTCATCATCGTCATTATCATTGTCATCATCATCATCATCATCATCATTACCATCATCACGATCGTAATCCCCATGATCATCACCGTCACCATTATCTTCATTATTATTATCATCATTATCCTTGTCTGCCTTTGTACGTCACAAGAGCATCACCGCCCAGTGCTGTATTCCATTGTGGCCTGTCCAGTTATCCAGAATGGCTTCCTGCGATGCGAGTTTCTCTATCAAAATTGTGAATACATAGTGAGATGGCTGGCCCCACACCCATCTGGAGTGAGGTATTCCAGGCACACGAAGCCGATAAGGACCGAATATAAGAAAGACATGGTGTGATAAATTATTCACACATGACAGTAACGTCACCAATAATGAAGTTCTCCAAAACATTATGCAACACATCGACGACTATGAACTCTTCATAAAGTTAGTTGCGTATCGTATCCTTTACAGAACTATGGAGAACCAACCCCAACATTTGTTGTTGTTGTTGTTGTTGTTGTTGCTGTTGTGGTATTTCTAGTAGTTTGCCGTTGCTACTGAATGATCAGCTATAGGTAACACTGTTGAAACCAACGACGCAAGACGATCCTGCTGCCAAATCGCCCTCAGCTTTGATCGATCTGGGCACACCGGTTACGTCTAATCCCCAGACACCGACAAAACACTTCTTATAACAGTGTTAAAAAAGACGTTAAAAGCAGTGGTGTAGATATGTAACGAGTTACGTAAGCCTGTTCAAAACAACTGAGGAACCGGCGGATCAGGAACGTTCTGGATCTAAGTGTTGCCAGACTAGACTGACCTTGCTGTTAGTTGCGTATCCTTTACATGACGTTGCAGAACCAACCCCCAGTATTTTTTGTCTGTTGAGGTTTTTCTAGGCAAATTTTACGTTCAGTAGTTTGCAGACTGATCCTTAATAATGACAATGTCAACTGCTGCGAACCTGATGGACGAGAACGTCAATACCTGTTCAAGCAACGTACGTGCTGTGACTGAACGAAACACATTGCATGTCATGGGACTATAGTTAAATGGCTAAACAATTCGTTTACTCAATTATTTTTTGATAAGTAACATTTAAAAACTAAAGAACACTTCCCACGACTTCAAGGATAGGGCTGGACCTATGTTTTATACACCAATCGTCAGTCGATGGGGGATGTCGGCAACGTCTCGTCTTTACTTCTCAGGACTTTACCTGGTACCCATTTAAGTCTGCTTCGACCTGCGAGTCAAGGTCAGTGTAAAAAAAAAACAATTTAGGATTCGTAAAGTAATCGAGCCCACTTTCTTAGTACCCGCAGGTGAGCGTCTTGCCGCTAAACTAAGGCTGTTCCCCACAAGACAGTGGCTAATTTAAATAGATGTAGGGGGTCCAACTATAGATGGGATCGCGTGTGTGTTTGTGTCTGTGTTTGTGTTTTTAAACTGTCGAATGGGATGTATTCGATTGATTCCACTTTGACTTTTGTCAGAATAACTTCTCTTTGAGTCAGTAGATATCATATCTATAAGAAACAGTCTAAGAGAGTTGAAATAATAATAATAAAACTAATAATGATAATAATAATAAACATGTTTTTTAAAACACATATCTAGAAAATTACTGTATATGATTTCTTGAAGCTGATTAGGGAGCTGCGTGGTTTCGCGGCATGGTGTCTGCCTCGAGTGCTAGAGGTTCCAGGTTCAATCCCCGGAAATAGCTGGGATTTTTTGCATATGGACTTGGACTTTTAGTAATTCCTCCTGGTCTCTGGGTAGTGAGATCGGATGCCCGTGTGCATTTTTACTGCCCGGGCAAAAATTTGGAGTTAAAAATCTACCTGAAGTATTTCAGGATCCTCGCATGTGCTACAGAGACTGTGCACTATGCTGTGATTCTTTGGACTCAGACTTACAGGAAGTACATAGCAATTATGGGTACTACCCGTGTACAATGATGTGAATTTGATGTTGAAACCTCAAACCTGTTGAGACTGACCCTGTGCTGAGAACAGCTGACCATTGACCTTTCTCTCTCCCTCTCCCTTACAGGTGGAGGCTGGACAGAACACTGACCTGTTTGAGCAAGTGCTGAACGCCCTCGAGTACCCCAACTACTGCCAGTTCGAGGTCCAGTACGAAGTTGCCCACAACACTATCCACTTCCTGGTTGGAGGCCGTCACACCTACTCCATGTCTCACCTGGAGTATACATCATACGACCCGATTTTCTTCCTGCATCACTCCAACGTCGACAAAATCTACGCCATCTACGAAACAATCCAGAGATCTAGAGGATACACACCTGGTAAGTGGGATCCGTTTTGAGTCGATCAGGTGCCATCTTCACAATAAAGGTTAGCAGCAACTGATCTGCAGCAAGCTGTCGTATTGCGTGTATATTGCCTCTTGCTCGCTTGATTTTACATTTTTGCTCCAGTATGGATTTTTTAAGAGTGCTGTGTATTTTAATGAGGCCGAAGTCATTTGTTTCTTGTTTTTCTTACAAAAGCTCACTAGTAACTATCTCTTCAGAGCCGCTATATTGCACCTTGCTCCCTTTTTTCCCACTCCTATGAAACCCGACACATTTGTTTCTAAACATCGAAATCTTCAAAGACTCAGTTCGATTTTCTCGTTGCTTGTTGATTGTACAGGCCTCTGCGTCACACAACAATAACATTCGACAACACACACCTTAGCGCCTTCGAATATCTGACACAGTTAGTGCCATTTACGTTTTTTTAAAGACCATTTGGGCACTCGGTGCTGGGTTATGTGATCAATATAAACGTCAGCTGCTTTTACTTTCTCCAACTTTTCCCGATACTTGTTTTAGGCATTATGGACAAGTGAACCGAGGTCAGTTGAAAACAAAATTGGCCTGAGTTTTTGAATCACTACTCATCACCTGGCACGCATGGGTGCTAGCTATCTTAGTTTCCATGTAATGTCTTGTTTTTGCTGAGTTATTGTTTTAAAGACTGTAACCTGCTAGTGTAACATGTTAGTGTAACCTGCTAGTGTAACATGTTAGTGTAAACTGTTAGTGTAACATGTTAGTGTAAACTGTTAGTGTAACATGTTAGTGTAACCTGCTAGTGTAACATGTTAGTGTAAACTGTTAGTGTAACATGTTAGTGTAAACTGTTAGTGTAACATGTTAGTGTAACCTGCTAGTGTAACATGTTAGTGTAAACTGTTAGTGTAACATGAAAACTGTTAGTGTAACATGTTAGTGTAACCTGCTAGTGTAACATGTTAGTGTAAACTGTTAGTGTAACATGTTAGTGTAAACTGTTAGTGTAAACTGTTAGTGCCTTTCAGCTGTTACATGAAAAAAACAGCAGATGATAAGACGAGCTAGAGTGTTAAGTGTTGTAGACTGGCTTAAAGACAACAAATAATGAAACATTAAACAAGTGGACACATCCGGAGTTAAATTGTTAAATTAACGGAGTAGAAATTAAAAAAAAAAAAATATTAACATGTATTATATCACTACTGAACGTAAAGTGTGTGATTAGTACAGAAATTATACTTCACCGTGTGAACAGAAAACTCAAGTCTTTTTCCTAAACGACAGTATGAGAGGGTTCACCAAATGTTTGATATTTCTTCTTGTCACAAGGCCCTGGATGTACTGGCGAGTGTGAGCTGTGTGATATTGTTGGATTCAAGACACCACTTGAGCCTTTCAGCAGGGATTCAAACCCTTTCCCTCTTACCAGGACACATGCAAAGCCTTCTGAGGCCACAGAGCACACTTTGTTTGGCTATAAGTAAGTATATAAGTGCACATATTTGGTTAGTTGGGGGGGGGATGGGGGGGAAATAGCGGAAGATGGGGGTATGGGGGTTGGGGGGGGGGGGGGGAGTTTATAACGATGTTCAACAATGCGCAGGACAGCTTCAGTTATTATTATGGACCCGGGTTTTGTTTTTGGGTGCCAATTTGAAAAGCTTAAATGATTTGCTGTGTCAGTAATAGTGGCTTTCATGTACACATACGTTCAGCTGTATCGAATACCTTCTCCTAATCTTCTCCCCCACCCCTCTCTCTCTCTTTTCTTTATTCGTTATTATTATTATTATTAAGATTATTATTATTATTAATATTATTATTATTATTATTATTATTATTATTGTTAATATTATTATTACATTATTATTATTTGGTCAGTTCTACTCTATCCATTTCTGCATACAATCTGTAATACTTCAGCTATCAGATATTTATCAAGTTGCACCTTACTGGCCATGTTGCACATGCATACACATGTATTGTATGTTTGTAACATTTCAAACAATGATTTATTTCTGTAATTGAAGTTGGCATTTGAAAATGTGTCTTCAAATTTGCTAAAATAGAAAAATAAAAAGGCTACTTTACACATGGGAATTCTGGTCTACGAGGCATTTCCAGAATTATGTTATATAAAAGTAAGAAAAGCACTCTAATCACACTAGTGGCGAATCGGGCTTAGGTCGTTCTCCCCCCCCCCCCCCCCCCCGAAAGTAGGACCTAGTTAGTTAGTTAATTGCGTATCCTTTACAGGACGTTGCAGAATCAACCCTAACAGCCCCTGCCTGTTTTGTGGTTTTTCTAGGCAAATTTACGTCCAGTAGTTTGCCATTGCTTTCTGGAAGGTCGGCTGTCTTGATCCCACTGTCGAAACCGACACAAGGCGCATGGCCCGCAGTTGGGATCGAACCTGGCATCCCGGCATTACGAAGTGTTCGCATCGACTTAGCTCCAGAGCCGACAAGTAGGACCTACTCCTCACCAAAATAATTAAGGCACGATGTTGGAGGTTCATTTAATATAAACCTACTCCAAAAATAAACCTTTGGCACGATGGTAATTTAATAAAAACGTAGCTTCCCCACTACTTGGTTAAGGTAATGATAATAATAATGGTAATAATAATAATAATAACAATAATAATAATAATAATAATAATAATAATATTAATAATAATACATCTACTTGTTTCCGGTGCTCCACTCCAGATACGACAACCTGACTTTGAACGGCTACGACATTGACGGACTCCAGAGATTGATCAGAGAGAGGCAGTCACATGACCGAGCTTTCGCCAACTTCCGTCTGCACGGCATTGGCGTCTCTGCTGATGTCAGGGTCAAGGTCAGTCACTGGTTGTTTAGGAACACGTGCATACATTGAGAGGTCATGAATTCTTTGGAGGGTTAAATCGGGTATATAGGATTGGCTATATCAGTATGTCGTCCAGGATGATATTCTGGCAACCTCAAAGGCTGTAAATCCTTCACAGCAGCCCAAAAAAATAGGGTAGGGGTTGGAGGACAAACAACTGATTTGGTAAAATATCTTCATTGACAAAGTTTCAGGCACACCTAATTTGCTATTTGTGTTATGGTCAATTGAAAAAAAAAAAAAAAGAATTGAAAATAAATAAGTATGATAACCATGATGACGAAGATGATGGTATTGGTGATAATGCTAATATCGATAATGACGCAGAACGCTCTTATTTAGGAAAATTACTTCTGTAATTAAAAAAAGAGTTAAATTACTCGATTGATGTCTGACACAGCTGTACCATGAATACCCCTCAGGTTTGTGTGTCTCAACACGACGAACTGGCTGGTGAATACTGTGAGTTTGCAGGAAACTTCTTCATCCTCGGCGGACCTCTAGAGATGCCCTGGACCTTTAACAGACCTTACTTCTTTGACATCACAAAGACTGTCCTCCATCTGGGGGTTCCTCTGACCGGAGATTACCACGTGGAGGTTGACGTCTACAGCGTGAACGGAACTCAGCTGCCATCTTATATTCTGCCACATCCGTCAGTGTCCTACAGGCCAGCTGTTGGAAAGCAGGATCGTAAGTTGATAGGAGTCTTGACTTAGTTCTTTTTCTTTTTAATTGGGGGAAGAAAAAAAAAAGGGGGGGGGGGGCTGTTACCCTTTTTTCCCATCTTGTATGTATTGCGAGTATAGTGTTTTTAGGTGTAATGCTGTAGAAACAAAATGCAACACATAAAAATGTTAGAGGAGCAGAAAAGCAAAGACAAAACACGGGAGGGGATATGGAAAAGTCAAGGGGGATACCATTTATTTATTTGTTGAGTTATTTTCTAATGTTTTGTTTCCAAATCCATTTGGTCCTGTGGTCTATTTGCCGACTGTTTAATGTTCTCTGTTTGACTTAGTTCTTTATAGTTTATTACAAACGAGCTGATCGTTTTTCTTATATTTTGTTTTTGTAAGGTAAAGGTAAAGTCGGCAGATGTGAATCAGCGTCAGTACACATGGTTATAAACCATAAGAGCTTTTCCACCAGTACGGACAACTGATAAGAATTGTCCGCCTGTGTCACTGTCCGCACGTAACTCTGTAGCTCTAGCTACGTTCCTCCATTTACCCCAGAGTATCACTTTGGTACCTATGTCCTAGAGGCTGGGTAAACACTGGGAACCGCCCGGTTTCGAACACTGATCGTGGCTGCAGAGAGTCGCAGCTGGATTTGAAAGCGAGCCTCCTATCGACTGCGTTAACGCTTTGTTCTTGTAGTTTATTATAAATGATCTGATCATAAGTTGATAGACGTCTTAATTTGTTTTATGCTCTTTGTAGTTTAACTTAAATGTCTTGATCGTAAGTTGATAGGAGTTGTAATGTGTCATGTTTTATTACACACGTATAGACTAGATCAGTGATTCCAAAAAAATGTGTGCCGCGGCTCACCAGGGGGCCGCCACCTCTTCATAGGGGCGCCTCGAAATATTGTAAAAGCTTCATGATTAATTTACCCAAGACACGAATAATCATACTTTTACTTAGGTAAGGGCACCAAGGAAAATTTTTAATTAAAAAAAAAAGGGGCCGCGTTCAAGAACAGTTTGGGAAACACTGGACTAGATTTATCGAGAGAATAACGCAGCGCGCATCAGATTAAAATGAGGGAGGGGTAAGACAAGTAGTTAACTATAGGAAAACGAGTACGCTGGCTGTTGAGTCAGAAGAGGAAGCTGATATGGGCTTATCCTAAATGCTGCCATGTCGAATTTTGTATTATATATATATATATATGTGTGTGTGTGTGTGTGTGTGTGTGTGTGTGCGTGTGTGTGTATTCCTAGATGTTCCCTGTTCTGTAATGAATGTCATACACACTTGATTCCAAATTCTTGACTCTTTCCACATTTTGTTACACCCAACATCGTGTCTTCATCTGGAAAAAAATCAGATTAAAAAAAATAAATTTAAAAAAAGTAGTATGTGTATCTTGTGTAACGTCTCACAAGCACTGATTTCTGTTTGTCTCCTTCCAACGTGAACAGCGCCCATTTCTCTCAATGAGATAACATGTGTATCTTGTGTAACGTCTCACAAGCACTGATTTCTGTTTGTCTCCTTCCAACGTGAACAGCGCCCATTTCTCTCAATGAGATAACACATGACCACGAATATAAGGCCGAAGTGTCCATCCGTAAAGAGGCTGACCACTTGACCAGGGAAGAGATCCTGGAACTCAGAGAAGCCTTGGAGAAATTCCAGGTTAGAGGATTTACCACTTGTTATGTTAGTTTATAATTAATGCCTAGTTTCTGTAGCTTGTTCACAGGTACAGAGTGACTGACACATGCGCTATTTGCAGCAACTTTCTGCTCTCAGTGTCAGGTGAACAGTCCTACACAAATATAAAAGTAAAATTACATCATATGGGATGTATAAGAAATCTTATCATCATCACGTGCCCTGCCGATTGGCGTAGGCGCTCATGCATCACCACAGATCACAATTCCAGGTTGCCACTCTTGATTATATCCCTCCATGCCATAGTTTCAGCCTATCCAGAATCATCTCTCTCTGTCTGCCTCTACCCCTCTTTCCGCTGATCTTTCCAGTTGTCACAATGTTTGCCAGTGCCTCTCTTCTCATTACGTGGCCAAAGAACAGTGCTTGTCTCCTTCTTATATAAGAAACGTGGCAGGTAAAAACAAGAAAAGACAGTTAGCAATGAAGAACTAGTAACAATGGTAGAGACAGCAGCGGTAAATCAATTCACAGAGCATGAAAGAATCAAATGGTTTGGTCGTCTGGTCAGAATAGACCAAAATCACCCAGCAGCTGGAGCGTACTACATAATAACCACAGGCAACAATCAAGAGGCCGACCAAGAAAGCAATGGGTAGAGGGAGAAAAAGAGACTGCAGACACGCAATATGATACTGACACCAGCTACACAACTAGCAACAATACAAGAATCTAACTATATCGAACTCCCGTTTGTGGCGTTTTACAGCATAAGTAGCAACATAAAAGAAGAAAGACGAAGACAATAATTCACAGGTTAATAGTTTGTGTCAGCTGTGTGTTGTATGTTATCATTATTGTTATTACCCTCTATAGGCAACTCAATACGTAATACACGTCACCATCATCACAATGTTTTTCCAAGACCTCTGTAGACGTCGCTTTTATCAAAGCCGGTCAGTTATGCCTACATTTCTAAAGAGTAATAATAGAAAGCAGTCTTCTTCTTCTTCTTCTTCTTCTTCTCTTCCAACTTGTACCTCAGTGAAGTGTCGAGGGGAGATGTAACGTTCGTTGATGTGCTCTGTCAAAAGCACAATTAAGAATACTGTTTTTTTATAGAAGCATAGTAAATGTACTAAATCTAAAGGGAAAACACATAGTGTCTTGTTGGGCGGTCCATAGTTTGATCTCGCTATCGGTGCTAAGTAGTCTGTCTAGAATCTAAGTTCCACTTATGTCCATGATGTACACGTCAACATATTAGACAGACTAGCATGCATGAAAAAATATTTGTTTTAGGCCCTAACATTATATGAAATGAGAAAATTAATTAAGAGAATAAATATGCTTCCACAAAATATTAAATTAAACGACCAAAGTTCTATTTCAACACAGAGTGACAACAGTGTGGACGGATACCAAGCCATTGCCGAGTTCCACGGTGACCCCGGGAAGTGCCCAACACCCACCGCCAAGAATCGACTCGCTTGCTGCATCCATGGCATGCCCAACTTCCCCTTCTGGCATAGGTTGCTGGTCGTGCAGGTAGGAGTTTGGTTTCAGTCGTGAAAGTGTTAAGATCCTTACTAGAATACCATAAACATGGGCTATATTCACTTGACTTATATGATTCGATGAGAAATGGACAACTGTACATTTTTAAGATCTGGTAAATCTTTGTGAAGCCAATAGTAAATCTATGACTGGGTGTGTCATATAAGAATGGATTGTATTACCAAGCTCTTCGTGAATGGATGACCTAACCCTCATCTTTGTGCTGGGTTATAAGGGTGTCTGAGGCATCGAGCGTGCAAATACTGAGTTTGTTTATTTCCAATCCGGTACTACGACCTCATCAATATCACGAAGACGAAAGCAGCAAAGTGCGTGATTGCCTATCCCTGTCAAGGTTGATGGACGTGGGGGTGCATCCCGGAGCTGCTAGCAACCAACATATCACCAGGGGATCAATACACTTGGTGAATCAACGCAGCCTTGAGTACCAGGTGAAGTCTTAGGAAGTAAAGGCGGTCGGTATGATGTTGACAATCTTACCCACCAATTGCCTATTGGTTTATAAAATATAAGTCTAGCCCTATATGCCCAAAACGCGTGAAAGCGTGGAAAAGGATTCTTTCCTATTTTTTTTTATTGTTTTATTTTACAAGTCACTAATGCGCCAAGCATATTATACAATACAAATAATATCTCTTGACAAGAGACAAAAAGTAGTAGTACATTTTACCACACTATGACATCACACAAGCGATAAACACCCGATGACACAAAGTGCCACTATGTGGATCAGGATCACTGGTGGAGAGGTCACCGATTCGCGTTCAGCCATTAGGCCATATTTATGGCCGGGCTCTGTTGCTGCCCCTGGCAAGAACCAGGGTGGAGCTTCAAATAACGAAAAATTGCATCCCACCTTATAAGATGAAGAGACAAATATTTTTTGTAAAGTGCTACTAATAATGACTGCTGAAATAGGATGTGTCGAACTGAAAGACACATATATCACAGCCTAGCTGTACACTACAATACACAGTGCCGCAGTAAAACCAATTTTGTTTGCTTCTGTTTGATTGCATGTTGGTTCTGCTTTCAAGCGATCACTTTTACCCTCCTGGTTTGCAGGTAGAAGATGCTCTTCGCAGGCGTGGATCCCACATCGGGATCCCTTACTGGGACTGGACCAAACCGAACACTCACATCCCCGCCCTTGCAGCAGACGAGACATACTTGAACCCACATGAGTAAGTAGGGTAGTTGATTCATCTTTTCCATTGTGAACTGTGTCTGCTCTAACATTTTTTTCTGCTGTTGGTTGAAAGAGAGAAAAAAAATATTAACCGTGTTCAACAACCTTTCTGTTGGTTTAAAGAGAGAAACAAAAATATTAACCGTGTTCAACAACCTTTCTGTTGGTTTAAAGAGAGAAAAAAAATATTAACCGTGTTCAACAACCTTTCTGTTGGTTTAAAGAGAGAAACAAAAATTGACCGTGTGCAACAACCATTCTGTTGGTTCAAAGAGAGAAACAAAAATTGGCCGTGTTCAACAACCCTTTTGTTGGTTTAAAGAGAGAAACAAAAATTGGCCGTGTTCAACAACCCTTTTGTTGGTTTAAAGAGAGAAACAAAAATTGGCCGTGTTCAACAACTCTTTTGTTGGTTTAATGAGAAAAACAAAAATTGGCCGTGTTCAACAACCTTTCTGTTGGTTTAAAGAGAGAAACAAATATTGACCGTGTTCAACAACCCTTCTGTTAGTTTAAAAAGAGAACAAAATTGACCGTGTTCAACAACCCTTCTGTTGGTTTGAAAAAAGAAAAAAATTGAATGTGTTCAATAACGAATCTGTTTGTTTGAAGAGAGAAAAAACAAATGACCGTGTTGAACAACCCTTCTGTTGGTTTAAAGAGAGAACAAAATTGACCGTGTTCAACAACCCTTCTAGTGGTTTGAAAAGAGAAAACAAATTGACCGTGTTCAACAACGCTTCTGTTGGTTTGAAAAGAGAAAAAAATGACCGTGTTGAACAACCCTTCTGACTGTTTGAAGAGAGAACACAATTGACCTTGTTCAACAATTATTCTGGTTTGAAGAGAGAAAATACATTAATCGTGTTCAACAATCCTTCTGAAGTCAGTGTCAGTAAAAATTACGGTCTATTTTTATTGACAATGACGTAAATAATTGGATGCGCCAGTAGTTGTAGCTCATTATCCCTAACTGTGTGTGACGTTGTCCTGTCTGAACATGTCTGGGTCCTCTTTGTTGGTCTAGTGGTACTTTTAGGGGTCATCTTCTGTATGTCCATTTTATGGATGTGCGTCTTGTGGCTTAGGTTTGTGGATAGTTGTGCGTCGTTTCTATAGTAAAGTTAGTCTGGTACCAGTTGCCTTATCAAAATTAGTCGCTGGAAGACAAAGGATGATTAGAGGGAGTGGAGGAAAGAGAGAGAGAGAGAGAGAGAGAGAGAGAGAGAGAGAGAGAGAGAGAGAGAGAGAGAGAGAGAGAGAGAGAGAGAGAGAGAGAGAGAGAGAGGAAGAAGAAGAAGAAGAAGAAGAAGAAGAAGAAACTCTTCGAACATTAGATATGTAGTAGGTAAATTCTTCAATCACATACAGCATTTCAATGACTTTTTTTTCAGCATTGATTACGGGGTCAAGGAATTCACGAATCACATATAACATTTCTTCGACTTTCTTCTAACAATAATTATGTAGACAGGGAATTCATGTTTCAAATATAAAACTTTCTAGACTCTCGTGTATTGTAAATTATGTTACAGAAATTCATAAATTAGATATAACTTTGCTTTCATGTTCTTCCAACATTAGTTATGTAATTATGAAACAGAGAAATCATGTATCGCATATTGTATTCCCCCCTCCCCCCCCCCCCCCCCCCCCCCCCCCCCCACTTTTTCAACATTCGGTATGTAGACCGTAACTTTGTGTATTTATGCAAAGTGTTTAATCAACTGTCTTCCAGCAATGCCGAACACGTCAACCCCTTTCATCATGCTAAGATTGGCTTTCTGGGAGGTGATGCCAAGACCAGCCGTGACCCACTTCCAGCACTGACCCAGACTCCAGATTACGGTGACCACACCGAGCTCTACGACGCGTTCCTGTTGGCTCTCGAGCAGGATAACTTTTGTGATTTTGAGGTAAGAGAGTACAGTAAGAACACAATGTTCTTGTACCGCCTCCACAATGAAGGTTAACTACAGTGTACGACCGTTGTCTTTGCGAATGTTACTTTGGTAAAGCGCCAATCTCTTCCGCGGTGCAATTCTCTTACTGCTTTCCGAAAACCGTGAGAGTATTATTTTAACCATGCACAGTGGGGAACGAATCCTAGTACTTGAGGGTCATCACAACAGTTAATCGCACTGACTAACTTCTCAACGAGGGCGAAAGTGAGATTCAAGCAAGTGACAAAGCGCTCCTCGTAGATCAGAACACAGTCCTGTAGGAACCAAATACTCTCTATGCAGCATGGGCTCTCCCTGAGCCGCCTTGTTTGCTTCAAAGGAAAGGTAACTCTATTTGATTTGGAACACGGCTGTTCAGCTTAGTTAACCCAGAGAGCTAACATTTTGAAATTGATATCGTACTGTGCCGGGCCGGTGACTCGTTCCCCAGCCTTGAATAGAATATTTATTACAATACAACTGGTACGGATTCGCGGGCCACTTGTTAGGCCTCAGCGGGCCAGATTTGGGCCGAGGGCAGCCGGTAAATAGCCCTGCTTTAGAATAACGTATGCGTGGCAGTTGACATTTCTCTGAGGTTGTTGGGACATTCAGTTTCTGACTTAGCTGGGCCAGGAAGTAACCTCTGCACCCACACTTAGAATGGTGTAGGTCCGGGACCGCCGACACAAATCAAATATGGGTTGGGGGGCGCTTAGCCACTTCACAATTCTTTGATATGAGGGGAGAGGGGAGGGTTGGAGGGGGTGGGGGCAGCCATCTAACAATTCTTTGAATGGCTAATGGTGGCGACATCCAACTAACAATTATATCCTGGGAGCGGGATTCTCAACTTGCTTTAGTCCTTAGGTTTCACCACACCTTGGTATGGATCTCTGCACCAAAATATGGGGAATTGCCGAAATACTCTCGTTAAGTGAAATTCTGAAGAAACTATCACGCTGGCATAACAACTGTCTGGTTTTCATGTTTTAGGTGCAGTTTGAGATTGCTCACAACTTGATCCACGCATACGTGGGTGGTAACAGCAAGTATGGCCTGTCTTCCCTGTCCTACAGTGCCTTTGATCCCATCTTCTATCTACACCACAGCAACATTGACAGAATCTGGGCCATTTGGACCGCCTTGCAGCAGCACAGGTTTGTTCGTTACCTCTAAACATTTGTGTGTGCTGTAGAATCTCACTTTATCTCATTTGCCAAGATTCATGACCAACTCACCACCCGTATTAAAGGGTAGTAAAATTACCCAGATTTATCATATATAGCTTGAACAAATATTTCATTAGGTGATATCACAAGCCAGATCTATCATTTATAGCTTGAACAAACATCTCATTAAGTGGTATCATTAGCCAGATATATCATATATAGCTTGAACAAATATCTCATTAGGTGATATCACAAGCCAGATCTATCATTTATAGCTTGAACAAACATCTCATTATGTGGTATCATTAGCCAGATATATCATATATAGCTTGAACAAACATCTGATTGGGTGGTATCACTAGCCAGATCTATCATATATTGCTTGAACAAACACCCGATTAATACTTTTCTGATCAGTTTCTGGCTTCATAATTTTCCCAACAACCTTCTTGTCTCTCAGGGGTAAACCATACAAAGCTCACTGTGCACAGTCCTACGTCTACACACCACTGAAGCCATTCGCCTTCCACACTCCATACAACAACAACGAGAAGACCTTCTCCCACTCCACTCCCACCAACATCTATGAATATGAGAGGGAGCTGGAGTACGCATACGACAACCTACAATATGGTGGACTCAGCATTCCAGAGCTGGATGACTACATTAATAATAATCTGAAGAGCAAACCCCGGACATTTGTCGGTATTCATTTACACGGTATTAAGACATCAGGTAAGACCCCAAAGATTCAAGCCTTACCAGTACTCTTTTTCGTTCGTATAGAATTGACTGTGTATACCGTTGATAAAAACAATAAAAAAAGAGGATTGTTAAATGTTATGTATACTCAATCTTTCGGCGTGATGTTGAGCACACAACCACCAAGAGCCGATTGGTTTATACAATTTTGATCTAACTTTATATTTCTAGTGCTCATGGAGGCATTGAAAGGGACCTAACTAAATTCAATCGTGCTATATGATTCAGTAACCTGAAAATAGTTGAGTTAAGTTGAATCAAGAATTGACATCACATCACTCGGGGCATTCCCACGCGTGCTCCGTCCTCATCTTCAACAACCAGCGCAGAGTTTGAATGCTGATGGTACCGGTCACAATCTGGTTATATGTCCGTCGTGTCTTTCCTCTGAGTGTAGTGAACCGGCCAGACCTTCTGGTTACACTCAGGTGCCTCATTCTCTCCAGGCCATAATAATCTTGTTTCTCTACTGATTTCGCTGCTTGTTCCCAAAGGGCCTTGAACACAGCTGCCTCTTTTTATGTATAAATTCACCACCCAGTGGTAGAAACATGAACAAAGCACAAGTAAAAAAGAAAACCGTAATGAATCTCGTATTTCATTTAAACAAAAACAATTGAACACGAGTGGTGAGAAAAGACTAGAAATAAACAGAGTTGATGAAGAAAATACAAGAGATTATTGTGCAATATTTCAGACACATTATAAGACCTATTGCTGGAGGAAAGCGTTAAAGATAATCGAGAAAGAAGTAGACAGCGGTACATGTGGGATGGTAACATCCTAAGATGTACGAAGAGCAGTTTGAGAAAGGGTACATCCAAGACGAAATACAGACATTTATGGGGATTAACTGCAGCCAATCTTCATTACACAGCCGGCACCTAATTGACTGATTCATTGATTTAATGATTTTTTGATTGATAAAGACTTTGGTAGAAACGTTTGACTGTATAGATGTCCTATTTACCCTTTCGCATTTGCTCTCGAGTTTCACCAGTCATCATGTCTGTTTCTTTAATTCATCGTTCGACTGCAATTAGACCCTTTTCCCAGACCTTTGAAACAACATAAGTTTACTGCAGTCTTGAAACATAAAGTCGAAACTAGACATTACTTTCTAAATGTCCATCTGATATGTTCTCTGTGTTTTATATATATATATATATATATATATATATATATATATATATATATATATATATATATATATATATATATTATATATAGACATTCATATGTTCTGTATTCGTAATGTTACCTGGATTGTTTATATTCCGTGTATTATATCTGCTGTCTACAATCTATATACTGTCAACATTCTATTTATGCTGAAAATTATATATGCTTTACATTATGCATGTTCTCGACATTATATTATTTAAACTCTTTATTCTCTATTTCCTCTCCATTCTTTATGCTATCTGTATTCCATATGTTCTCTACAATCTATATTCTCTCTGCTTTCTATATACCGTCTACAGTTTATATTATGATCTAAATTCTACATGCTCTCTACATTCACATATCCTCTAAATTCTATACATTAAGAAAGAGAATAGAGGCTTTTGAGCTGAAATGCGATATCAAAATTCTCAAAACATCTTGGACATAAAAGAGGTGAAATATTGACATCTTTAAAGAACTCAACACCAAGGAAGATTGGCTAATAAACAGCATCCTGCCTCGGAAGCTGAAATATTTTGGTCATATCAAGCCCCACAACGGACTGGAAAAAATTATAGCAGAAGGCATGGTACCAGGAAGGGGGGGGGGGCAGGGGCCGACCGACACGAAGATAAGCACAGGATATAAGTGAATCCTTGAGTATGAACGTACATGAGGCGGGAGAATTGGCGAGACACCGAGTTTCTTTCAGGCAGACCATGATGAGAGCGTTTATGCAAAGGACCTACAACATAATGATGATGATCTACATTCTAAATGATTTCTCTACATTCTGTGTTCTCTACAGGCCTGGCCACAGTCCACGTGAAGGCTGGAGACAAGGATTACGTTGCTGGTCACTTTGCCTTGTTGGGTGGACCTACTGAGATGCCCTGGGAATATGATCGTTTGTACAGGTCAGATTATCGTTATATATGTGCATGTCAGATCATGGTTAAATATGTACAGGTCAGATTGTCATTATAGATGTACAGGTCAAATTATTGTTATATATGTACATGTCAGATCATCGTTATATATGTACAGGTCAGATTATCATTATAGATATACAGGTTAAATTATAGTTATTTATGTACATGTCAGATTATCATTATAAATGTAAAGGTCAGATTATCGTTATAGATGTAAAGGTCAGAATATTACTATATACGTTTAGGTCAAATTATCATTATGTTTGTACAGGTCAGATTATCGCTATATATGTACAGGTCAGATAATCATGCTTCGAGATACCAGCTAAGTGATTTTGTGTATTTGTGTAGTATTGTTTGATTTGTATGTGCTGATTAAGGCTCCATAACCGCAACGTTCACGTTTTGTTCGTTTTTGTTATATTGTGAAGCTTGCTAAAATACTTTTCGTTCGGTTTTATATGTTTTCCTAATATTATCGTTATATACCATTTCTGTCGTTTACCCCGTAGAAAAGTCATTATTATTTAATAATAGGTCTAAGTGGCACAGTGGCTGGACAGTTTGCCTATGGAGCAATGTTCAGATTCTCTTCTGGGCGTGTATATGTTGCCACCGCACTGGCCCTAAAGTCAACCCAATGGGTTCCAGGAAAAAAACCGCAGAAGTAAAGGCAATCGGGCGTTTCTAATCTTCATATCTCCAATAGTTTGTCAGCTAATGTAGAAAGATATGAGGCTGGTATGAGAATCACATTATTCTTCCAGGCAAAATCAAGAGTCAGTGGCAATGACCGGTTTTTGACATACTTCGTTTTGTGTGCACAAGGTCGTAAAATAGCCGAGCGCGTATAATTACTGTAAATTTTTTTTAAAATACCAGAAGTTGAAGCACTGAGCTTTACAAAGCACTGCCTAAAGGTGCTAATCGACAATTTCGATTCAAAAGTCATCATCATCAGTTAATAAATGTTTTTTTTTTTTTTTTTTTTTTTTAAATTACCGAGGAAAGCACTTTTAAATATTAGATCTAAAAAATGATATAAAACTACAGCTAGTGTGGATGATAACTGTAATATTTACCTAAACATATTTGAGTTTACATTTAAAATATGTTCCCGGTACATCAACGTATGTCTTCATTATACTGTCCATCAATTAATATCAAAATTATACTTCACTTCAACGTTTGTCTTAATTTTTACCAGTTTATTTCATATTTGTCCACTTCGTTTCATAAAGATTTTTGTCATCATTTGATATCTATTTTTAACAGTTTTTTTTTTTACTTACTTCTGTATTTACAGACATGATATAAGTGAGGCTTTGACAGGATTGAATCTACAATTGTCGGACGATTTTGAGGTTAATATTGAAATGCATACGTTTGGTGATAACCAACCTATTGATGTAAGCCAGTTTCCAAGAATCAACTTGATTTTCAAAGCTCCAGAACGTAAGTATATACTACACTCTAGCACTATTGAAATAAAAGACCTATTTTCACGTTTTCAGACGAACTGGGCAAAAACCTGGACTAAGTGGCACTCAGCTAATAATGTGATCAATACTACGCCGACCGACTTTACTTCTCATGAATTTTCCTATTACCCATTTAAGGTGGTATCGACCAGGGAGCCAACGTCATTTCTGGAAAAACAAATCGTTTCTGTCGGGTCCCGAATCTACGATCTTTGTATCTGCCGACGAGGATCTAGGACCTACATCAAGAGCGGTTACCATTACAATAGTTCAGAGTATCAAGAGTAATCATGGATACAAACGAGCAATTACGGGGACAAACGAGCAATTACGGGGACAGACGAGCAATTACGGGGACAGACGAGCAATACAATAGGCACATCATGCAGAGATGCTGACTGAACATTACCTAAACAGGCAGTGAAATAGAAAATAAATGAAGCGAGTAAACGATGTCTTTAGGTGAAACCCTAGGAGAAAAGTGTTTGAGAAAGGCTAACTGTGCTAGGTAAGTTTCCATCCCTCCATCTATGATATCTAAGTGACCACACTTGATAAAACGGAATGGAGAACGAAACTTTAAAGCGTGTATTATGTAAGAACACGCAGCAGGATGATGATGACGATGATGATGATGATGTTTTTAGGCTTGGCGTCTTTTTTCTCTACGGGTCAACAGTACAAGCTTGGGAGTCTAAACGGTTACTTCAACCTATTCGTCTGCAGTGTGATACTCCAGAACAGACCAATGTGTCTCCTCCTTGATTCTGGCAGCTGTTTCGCTAAGTGATCCAATAGCTTAAAACACCTCTTCTTCCCGCAGAACGCAAAAATGTATCAGCCTTAAGCTGAGATTTCTCCATGGAATCCCAAGGTAGAACTTCCCTAAGGATCCACCAAGTTCTGACCAGACGAACCAATTTCTCTGACCACGTTTATGATGTGCCTTCCAGTTGTTGTGACCACTGGAAAGATATGTATTGTTTGTGACCACTGGAAAGATATGTGGAAGGAGCGGTGGAGGAAGACGAGAGCAGATTCTTGACGGTCTTGTTGCATGGCATGGAGGTGTGTCGGCACACGATCTGATACATGCTGCAGGAGACCGTGGATTATGGAGAGGCATGATCGCCCACGCCAATCGGCAAGGCACCTGATAATGATGATAATGATTTGCTCAGTCAGTATTGGTGTGTTTTAGTGCACATCCGCACGCGACAAGCTACATGTTATGTTTGCAAGACCTTGTATTGCTTGTGCTGTTCCTAACAAACTAGATACGGTAAGGTCCTTTGGAAACAAGTGAAAATGCATTGGCACGAACAGATGACCATTATGGCCTGGAGGTACAACTAGGAATGACCATTGATCTGGCCGACATCATACATCAGGGGAAAGACAAGACGGAAATATAAATGAAAGTGTTACTGGCACCATCGGAATGGAAATACTTCGCTGATGGCGGCTGAATGTGAAGACGGACCGTTTATGGAAATGATCCAAGTTCTGTGATGTCAATTCTTTGCTCATCATCTGTACCTCCAACAGCTGTCCCGAAGAACTAGGCATACCCCGGTACTGATCAGGAGATTCATAACCTCAGTCATAAGTATCCACATACTGTGGACTGAAGTATGCTAAACGTAGTTTGATTGTTGTTTTTAATATTATTTTTAACTGAGTTAAACAACGCATCAACATCATGACACACAGACAGTAACCCATAAGTGCTCCGTTTTTCTTCTAACTCAAGTCTGAGTCCGAAAAAGCTCAGCACAGTGCACAGGTTCTGAAGCACCGGCTAGGATCTTAAAACACTTTGGGTACACTTTTAACTCAAAATTGTGCCTAGTAGCTTGCTATTGCCTACTGGACGATCGGCTCTCGGTACCACTGTCGAAACGCAAGACAAACCCTCTACATCTGGGATCGACCCCTCACCCCACACACACACACACACACCCAGGCATTATTAGTGCGTTTAAAGCCACAGACGCCGACTTTGTGTGAACTGCTATTTTAATTGTCCCTAAACAATCGTTTTAATGCTGTGATTTAACATAACTGAACCCAAATGATGCAGTTGTTTGATTTTGTTTTCCAGGAGAACATGAACCAAGCCAGATCAAAAGGATTACCCGTAAGAACGTCAACCACTTGACTGATGAAGAAGTTCTGAACATACGCCAAGCCCTGAGTTTGCTGGAGGAAGACAAGGCCACCGGAGGTTACCAGGATCTGGGCCGCTTCCATGGAACTCCAAACTGGTGCCCTTACCCTGCCGCAGACAAGAAAGTGGCATGCTGTCCTCATGGCGGCCCGACCTTTCTGCACTGGCACAGGTAGTTTGGCATGCCTTTCGCATTATTATAAACGGAAACATCATCATCATCATGTGCCCTGCCAACTGGCGTAGGCGTTCAAGCGTCTCCACAGATCACGATCCCTGGTTGCCTGGAACTGCTCTCTTGATGATATCCCTTCATGCCATCGTTTCAGCCCATCCAGCATCATCTCTCTTGGTCTGCCTCTACCCCTTTTTTCCACTGATCTTTTCAGTTGTTACGATGTTCTCCAATATACAGAAGCATAAATATTAAATTAGGATATGTTTACATTAATTCAGAATACATTTTATAATAAAGTTTTAAAAAAAGTGTTAAAATATACGGCTCATCGAGATTAATTTCGGGGACTTTAATCTATTTTTAAGAAAAATAAATTATACACTATGCAATATACTGAAACAGCCATATTATATGTTAATTATTATAAATAATATGTATGCACTATTTATCTTAGTACAACACATACCTATAATCAAATTATTATTGATTATAAATTTTATTGGACAGAGAAAATATATCTTAGCCGATAAAAAAAGAGATATTGTGAGGCAACATTATGTAAGATTTTGATTAATGTAGTTTACATAATTTATTGACATTAAAAAATACCTTTTTTTTGGGTTTAAACTAACATATTTAAGTCTATGGCAAAGTTACAAGAATAATTCTAGAGACACTGTATATTTAATGTCGACTAGTGTGAACATAGAATTTCGGCATTTGGAAATGAAAGGGTTGGCAGCATTTGAAGTCGCACTTATCTACGCCACCGGGATCTATCCACGGGTGCATTTTAGAGTAAAATGTAATATTCGAGCGGACTAACCGGCAGGAATGCTTTAATACGGGCAGGAAGATATATGGATGAATTTGAAATATATAATCCAGATAGGAGGGGTCATGACCCAGATAGGAGGCGTTAGGATGAATCTGTCAGTACTGGTACTTTGTGACGGCTGCTACATCGGATGCCTATGTAGGCATGATAATGTTCGATTCACTATAATGTTGACCGTGATAACATGTCAAATGTTGCTGAGCTTCGAAACGACACCTTAGCACTCAGTACATTCCCATAACCACTCTTTCCTCGACTACAGCAACTATCGAAAACTTCCAATTTCAATGGTGCCTGTAGCACTCTGATTATATGTTAGTCTTTTTTTCCTTTTAGTTTAGAGTGTCGACCAAATACCCTAACCATTCCAAGCTGCACTCAGACCATAATGATCTTTTTGCTCTTCAGCATTTTTCACTTGCGCTTAAAGCACCTTCATCATATCAAACTTGGTTTCTATAAATTCACTTCACTTGCTAAAGAACCAGCCGGTCTGTCAATCTGTAACATAACATGTAAAAAGTAAAGTAAAGTAAAGATCCCTTTTCACGCCTTTCGGCGCATGGGGCATATGGGCAGAGCGTCCCATATTTTTACAGACCATCAGCACTCTGTGGGTAATGTGGTCAGCATTACGCCGGCTGTCTTTACTTTCCCAGGACAGCCCATCCTGGTACCCATTTTAGGCTGGGTCGACCTGCGACGTCCCATACCACGACACAAATCCACGCAGCCTGCCAGTGGGTTTCGATCGCGGTATGCTGGCTTACGAGTCGGGCTCGCAACGCCTTAGCCACGGACGCCGCTCAACATAACATGTAGGGTCACCTTTACTTGAAGCGAAGGCTTAGTATTTTACGGTTCAGTCTTCTGTTAGACGATCGATCGTTACCTGTATACTCATAGTCATATTTGTTTCACAGACTGCTCACCGTTCAGGCAGAAAATGCTCTACGTAAACATGGCTACAAGGGTGCGCTCCCATACTGGGACTGGACCCAGCCGGGAACATCTCTGCCACCCATTGTCGTGCCACAGAATTACCAACACCCCTCTACTGGCGAGGAGATTCACAACCCCTTCTATGAGTAAGTCTTTTTTTTTTAAATTTAGATTGAAGAATGGTTAATGATGTTATTTTTAAATGTTGTTTTAAATGGTCTTGTTATGCTGTGTTAAAGCTGTTTTAATCATGTGTTGGACATTGTTTATTGTCAATTGTTTATATTTTAATGTTACGAAAAATAGGGCGACCATGCCTCCTTTCTCCATCTATCTTTCATCGGGTAGCTGTCCTTGGCAAAGTGTCACGAGACAGTCTGCAAACATAAACAAGGCACCTTCATCTTTGTCCTTTAATAATGTTTGTAATTGATAAACATTTTGGTATCCTCCTCTGTTCTTCCTTTGCGATGCTGTTCGGCCAGAATATTCCCACTATTCTCCGTATACATTTATTTTTAAGACTGTAGTTTATGAATGATTAGTATTTCTCCCCCCCCCCCCCCCACCTTATACTCACTTATAACACTGTAATGACGCTCAAATTGCAGTGCTCACATTGATGACGTTGACAAGAACACAGTGAGATCAGTCAGGAGTGATCTCTATGAACAGCCAGTCTTTGGAGAATACACAGCCATCGCCAAACAGGCAAGTCGTGACCATATGTGTGTGTGTTGAAGACCGTTGTCGTTTGGTTGCCCTCACATTCGAGCCGTAATCATTATCTTTAAGGGTCGTGACAAACTTAAATTGATAGTAGAAACGGGGCAGAGAATTTTGAATGATAGAACTACTTGACCTGAACTGGTTGAGGGCCTATGCTCCACTGAGGGATAGAAGGCAGACGAAGAAGAAGAAGAAGAAGAAGAAGAAGAAGAAGAAGAAGAAGAAGAAGAAGAAGAAGAAGAAGAAGAAGAAGAAGAAGAAGAAGAAGATGAAGAAAAAGAAGAACAAGAAAAAGCACAAGAACAAGAACAAGTAGTAGAAGTAATAGGAAAAGAAGAGGAAGAAAAAGAAGAGGAAATAGAATGTGTTCAAGTGTTTACTATGCCTTCTATTATATTTGAACAAAGGCCATAAGTAACATGGAACATCTTTGGTACAGATCTAGCTCATCAAGTATCAATTTACTTATAACATAGTCCCAACATAGTCCCAACATAGTCCCAACATAGTTCCAACATAGTCCCAACATAGTCCCAACGCCACGACGGATTGGAAACAATTATAGCAGAAGGCATGGTACCAGGAAGGGGCCGACCGACACGAAGACGGGCACAGGATATGACTCGTTAAGTATGAAAGTACATGAGGCGGGAGAACTGGCGAGAGACCGAGTTTCTATCAGGCAGACCGAGATGAGAGCGACGTTCTTCAAAGAACCTGCTACAGGATGATGATAGTCCCAACAGTGGATGCGAAACTTACCACACGGTTTAATAAAAGAAGGAGCCAAGTAGTGTTTGAATCAGCATGGAGGCTGATTTTAGTTTCGTAAACGACCATGTCTCGCAGGTCGACTCAGCCTGAAATAGTTACCAGGTGAAGTCGTTGGTAGTAAATTCAGCCTGTGTGATGCTGATCACAACGTCTGTTTGTGGACCGAGTGCTTTTTTGATGTTTCATAAGCATTTAACATCATATGAAGGATGCACCAGCTGGCATAGAAATGGTTCTTAAAAAAAATATCCTTAACTTTGCCAATCAATCACTTTTGTTTATATGATCTGACGTGTCTACACAGGTGCTCCTTGCTTTGGAGCAGGATAACTTTTGCGACTTTTCGGTCCAATATGAGATTGCTCACAACTTTATCCATGCTCTGGTTGGCGGCAGTGAGGTCTACTCCATGGCGTCGCTCTTGTACACAGCCTTCGATCCGATCTTCTACCTCCACCACTCTAACACTGACAGGATCTGGGCTATTTGGCAGGTAAGGACAAGAAATCAAAACACCTTTGTTTCTGTATCTGCAGCTGGATGTGTCTTTTAACTCCTATATCTATCTATGCTCAGTTTTCTTTCTTTGTGGCTGGCATTTCAAACATATCTCAGATAAAGTACGCCCTCCTCTTCATCTGCATGTTAAACATCTAAGTCTTTCAAAAAGAGAATCGGAGTTTTTCAACTGCAATGCTGTAGAAACATTCTTAGAATAGCATGGACCTAGAAAAAGAAACACATCGAAACCCAGCATGATCAGAACGTCAAGGAGATTTGGCTTATAAACAGCATCCTGTCGCCTAAGATGACGCATTTTGGCTATGTTAAGCGTCATGATAGTTTGCAGAGAAATATGTTATGGAGGGAGCGGTTTCCGGAAGACGAATAGCAAGCCTATCTCCGCGAAGGTTGATGTAAGATTGAAGATGCACTGATCATGAAAAAACAGAGAGCTGGAGAATTGGCAGGAAAAAGAAAGACTGTAAAGGAACACCCGAATAATATTATGTTTAAGTCTCTCAAGTTATGACCATACCCTCTCCTCGCTCTCGCCCGCGCGCGCTCTCTCTCTCTCTCTTTCTCTCTCTCTCTCTCTCTCTGTCTATATATATAGGTATGCATCTGTTTTTCTATCTTTATATTTGTCTCAGTATATTTCTCTATGTAAGTCGCTTTGCATGGCTACCTATATGTTATGTGTGTTTTAAACTGTTTATTTATTGCCTACACAGTTACTGCAATTAATGTTTTCGCTCTCTCTCTCTCTCTCTCTCTCTCTCTCTCTCTGCCTATATATATATATATATATATATATATATATATATATATATATATATATATATATATATATATATATGCATCTGTTTTTCTTGTTTATATTAGTCTAAGTATATTTCTCTCTGTAAGTCGATTTGCATATCTACCTGCCTGTTTGCGTGTTTCAAACTGTTTATTTATTGTCTATACAGTTACTGCAATTATTGTTTTCTCTCTCTTTGTAAAGTCGATGCTTCCTATAACATTAGTAATTGTTATCAAAGTTGACTCTGTCTAGAAAACTGATAATTATCTGCAAATTCGATGTTCTTCATAACACTGGCAATTCTCTTGTGTGGTAATATCCAGAGCTATCTTAACACTTGGGCCTTCTGGAGACCTGACCAGGGGTCACATGCTAATCTGTGTATGTAAAGTCACTTGCAATAAACAAACATTTCCTTCCTGTCAGTGATGGTCCTAGCTCTAGCAAAGGCAGCATTTTCTTTGCAAATTTCCAAATTATTTGGAAGCTGTGGAGATGTGGCATTATTTGGAAGCTGTGGAGATGTGGCATTATTTGGAAGCTGTGGAGATGTGGCATTATTTGGAAGCTGTGGAGATGTGGCATTATTTGGAAGCTGTGGAGATGTGGCATTATTTGGAAGCTGTGGAGATGTGGCATTATTTGGAAGCTGTGGAGATGTGGCATTATTTGGAAGCTGTGGTATTATAGAAGAATGATGTAAAAAATAAAAATAAAGTAAAGGACATTTTTCCACGTCTTTAGGCGTATAGGGCATATAGGGCTAGACCTATATTTTTGTAGACCAATCGGCACAAGATGGGTGATGTGGTCAGCTTTTACTTCCCGGGACTGCACCTGGTACCCACTCAAGGCTGGGTCGACGTGTGAGTAAAGGAATGATATTACCCTAGAAAAAAGAAAAAAAAAAAGATATGAAAATGTCTTGAAAGAAACTGACTCAGGAAGAGAACTGATTGCCAACATCAGAAAGAGACAATCTACATTCTTTGGTCATATGATGTGAAGGAGAAAACGGAAGTACACCGTGGCGGTGGTTAGGTTTCATGGGAAGAGAGGCAGTGAAAGAGAGAGAAACGCTGGATAGTTAGATATTATAGCATGGAGCATCATCTGTGGCATTCAGAGTTAACTAATAGTACACCGGACAGAAGGTTGTGGACAGACGTGTCTACCAACGTCACACGGCATGGACTTTAAGATTCGGCCCTAGAACACTGGTTTACCGAAGAGCCCCAAATACTGTTCAGACGGCTCTGGTAATACCCGCTTAAAAACTAATAATTATTTAAAATGTAAATGATTTTGATTGTTGTGTGTAGACTCAATAGACAGAAATGCTAGATAGATAGGTTTCACATCGTTTTGTTTTTTCTAACCCCAGGCTCTGCAATCATACCGAGGCAAACCCTACAACTCTGCCAACTGTGCTATTGGAAGACTGCGCAAACCCCTGCCACCTTTCAGCTTGACCTCCGATGTTAACCCTGACTCTGTGACCCGTGAACATTCATTACCCTTCAAAGTAAGTTCTTCTTTATTCATAAACGTATAATTTCACAAGCAGACAAACAGCAACTGACAAACCTTGGAGTTTTTGTGTGACATGTAGCTATCTATTTACTCCTGATTCTTTGTTTTATTTCACTCTTTCTTCCTGTTTCTTCTTTTACTGTTTATCCTTCAATGGAGAATAGGCCCTAATCCAGATCACACTAAGTCGTTCTATCCTTTGCTCAAGCTTACTTCTCACCCTGTGTCCATCTCGCCTGTTTTTAACTTCACTCTCTTGTTCCTTGTCTATGTCTTCTTGCTTAAAAAAAAATTGAAGTCTAACTTGTTAGTACCAGCAAATCCATGAGCACGTTTGTCAATTATCGACAGAAAGTAAATGCATTGACTCATTCATACGTTATTCCGTTAAATCAACTGTTCTCAACCTGCGGGTAGCGTTCCCTGGGGAGAGGGGGGGGGGGGGGTGGGGTGTCGAACGCCTAAAACAAATATAAAGTTATAAAGGAAAATAGTTTGGGGGTCACCACTACATGAGGGAATTGTATTAAAGGGTCGCGGCATTTGGAAGGTTGAGAACCCCTGTGTTAAATCAATAATTTGTTCCTGGAAAGTCTTCGTAGGTATTTAATTGATCTATTTGGTTTGGCATCATTCTCATCATTATCATTTCGTAACACTCTGTGTCGTTGGGTCATCAATTGATGTTGACAGTCTAATCACCGATCCCCACCTTAGGCGGCCATAGTAATATATCACACATATGAGCACAATAGAACTACATATGTATTACACACAGCACGCGTGTGCATTATACACAATAGATACTCATATTTCACTAAAAACTGACGACGCACATAGAAATACACAAGATACACAAAAACACTCACATACAAAACACCAGCAGACTAAATCTTAAAGAAACATACTATGTGCATATTCTTATTCTGGTTAATTAAAATGCGAATTATATTCTACTCACGGGACAAGTCTTGAAAATTCGAATGTGAATTCTTTTTATTCAAAAGATAATGCTAGCTGAATCATCCGTATTCAATCTCGGTCTACTCACAAATCAGACTACTCGAACATAACTCCTGCTCCTCATCTGCGGATTCAGTTCTGTTCAAAGGCAACTTATTTCCTTGCCATTGATCAGTATGGATGTTTCTACAGGCATACACTATCAATCGTTTTGACATCCTAGTATTGCCAACATATATTTCTCTTGTCTTTAAGCACACACCACATGAATATTTAAAAAAAAAAAAAAAAAATACAAATCATTTTTTTTTTAAATGAAGGCTTCTTTACAGCAGGAGAAAATCAACCCTGAGCCTCATGAACTCAGGTGGGCCCACTCTCTGAAAATGTCTAGGAGCTCGTGGGCCGAATCATTTGTCGAGTAAATTAGAATAGCAAACAGTTTAAGTAAGTGGAGGAACAGTGTTAAGTAAGTAGAACAGTGTAAATAGAACAGTGCTAAGTAAGTAGAACATTGTTAAGTTAGTAGAACAGTATAAATAGAATGGTGTTTAGTAAGTAGAACAGTGTTTAGTGAATAGAACAGTGTTAAGTAAGCAGAACAGTGTTGCGTGAATAAAGCATTGCTGAGTAAGTATAAGAGTGTTGTGTAAGTAGGACAGTGTTATGCAAGTAGAACAGTGTTAAGTAAGTAGAACAATGTCATGTAAGTAAAACAGTGTTAAATAAATAGAACATTTGTAAGTAAGTAGAACAGTATTAGGTTAATAGAACAGTGTTCAGTAAGCAGAACATTGTCAAGTAAGTTGACTAGTGAATCATCAAATGCGTGTGCAAGCTTACCGTTGCTGTTTGATGCAATAACCCGGACAAGCAACTAGAATATAGAACTGAATTTCAGCATATGTGGTTCTATTTCACAAATGGTAATACAACATCAATAGATTGATGAACGGCAGTCGTAAAGAGTGTACTACCAAGACGAGAGAATAGAGAGGGATGTCGATATATTGCAGTCAACCGTCATATGGAGACGAAGACTAACTCATTAGTCTTACAAGTCTCCATTATAAAGAAGAAGAAGAAGAAGAAGAAGAAAAGGCACCAGCCGAGCTGTGTGCCGTGTGCTGTGTGGATGCTCATACGAGACATATTCCATCTGGTATATTCCATCTCTCCATCTGTATTCAAACTGTCAAATATCAGTTATATAATATCACTGATATATTTACGTATTTATTCTTTTGACATGCTTAACGTATTTATTCTTTTAATATGCTAAACGTATATATTATTTTAATATGCTAAACATATATATTCTTTTAATTTGCCTAACGTATTTGCTAAACGTATATATTTTTTTTATATGCCCAACGTATATGCTTAACGTATATATTCTTTTGATAAGCTTAACGTATATATTCTTTGTGTGCATTTCTAGAAGCGAAAGCGACTGCAACAACCCTGGAGGTGAATTCTACATTTTGGGTGACCCCAATGAAATGGAATGGTCCTATGATCGTCTGTACAGATACGAGATTACCCACCAGTTGGAAGAACTCCACCTTCGTTACAATGATCGCTACTACATCAGATACGAAATTCACGACCTCACTGGACAGGATCTCGGACAGCCTTTCCCAACACCCACTGTGATTCGCGAGATTGGAACTAGTAAGTGATTTGTTCTGTTTATTGTCGCTCCAGCGGAATTCTCTATCATGCTTTGTGTGGATTTGAATAGTCCGTTTCAAACGTCGTGCTCTCACATTAAAAAATAATAATTCTAAAACCGGTAAATTTTACGCTGGTCTGCCCATTTACACACCGCTACACACTAGCTCGCTTTTGACTGGATGACCTACTTACCACCTGACAGGTCTGCCTCGAGCGATCCGAATTTCACACAAGGTCACGGGGATATTCCGCACTCGCGCTGATACGCGTGTTGTATATTTCACCATGCCAAAGCTTTTAACACTTCTAAAACATAAAAATACTGGGTCTAACACACAACCTCCATAGAGAGTGACAAAACCTATGTCATAGGCCGTCTCTTTCTCTGAAATAAAAGTAAATGCCAGACAACAGACTGCAATACCCATAACCTTGACCACGATAGACTAGTCCAACCAACTTATCAATGGAGTCGACCTACAACCGGTGGTGTTTAAATGGGGAGTCCAGCGTAAAATTCACACGATAACCTGTACGATCAATACGTTGTTCTTGCATGTGGCCTAAGATGCCACATGTCCTTACGATTTCGTAATTTACAATTGCTCAAGTGCTGCTATTTTCTTGAAGAGGCGAATTTTTTTTATCTTTGTGTAACTAATAATTTGCACACAAATTAAAAAAAAAACAGAATTCATAATAATTGACACAAGCTTGGAGAATGTTTTGAAATCAGTTCAAATGTGCAGGGATGTGATAATTATTTTGATATGAATCATTGTACAGTCACAGTGATGGACTATTGCCCACGCTTTCAATCGTATTAGGCATATAGGGCTTGACTGATATTTTATAGAACTCGGTGGGTGGTGTGGTTAGCATCAAGGCCGGCCGCCTTTTTTTCCAGGACTCTACCTGGTACCCAGTCAAGGCTGGGTCGACCTCGGAGTCAAGATCATTTTTAGAAAAAGTCCCGAACCCACGACTTTCCGATCCCCAGACGAGTGTCTAGTCTCTACACCAAAAGCTGCTCCAAATTACACACTACATTCCCTTAATACATAATGCTCCATCTCCCTCAGCAATTCATCAGCACTGACAGGAACGGAGAATAATACAATTACAAACTTCTTCTCGGAGTTCATGCGGTGTGGCTTTTGTAGTCCTGTCTACACACAAGCGTCTGTCTCGTATACTTCCAATCAGCTCTGACACAGAAGATCTTCCATGTCATGATGTCCAGCTATCCAGAATCTGCTCCCTCGGTCTTCCTCTGCCTCTCTTCCACTCCACCTTTCTTACTGTCACCATGTACTCCAGTTTTCTCCTTCTCATGACATGACCAAAGAATATAGATTGCCTCTTTCTGAATTACAAACTAGAATAAACAAAATAACATATCTGTAAGCAGAAGTCTCTCAGAAAAATTTGTAAGCTTTCATATATTGTTGTTACTGATCAGGTTTTTCATAACGTACTGTAAATGTTCTGACCACAGGTCACCTATATGGTCGAGAGTACCGTGAGGCAGTTACTGTAGCTTCGCATGTGCGCCGCAATCTGGCCAGTCTGAGCGCAGGCGAGATTGAGAGTCTGCGATCTGCCTTCTTGGACATCCAGAGGGATGGCACCTATGATAATATTGCCTCCTTCCATGGAAGACCTGGTCTGTGTGAGCATGAGGGTCACAAAGTAGCTTGCTGTGTTCATGGACAGGCAACTTTCGCATCCTGGCACAGGCTTTACGTTGAACAGGTAAGTGCGAATGAACACCTATAGCAGGAATATCCAATTAAGTTTACTCAGGGTTAAAATGTTGAAAATAGGAATCGTCCTGGACCTAAGTCCTAGCCTAGCAAGATTATTAATTCAATACGTCTGGCAAAGATTCGCGGGCCACTTGCTAGGTTACGGTGGCCCTAATCTGGCATTTGGACCACCACTTTAATAACCGAAGGAGCCTTTTTTTATGCCTCTCATGATGTATGGTTAAAAAAAAAAGGTAAATGACTTTTTTCCCTCCGATAATAAGCGTATTGGATGTATAGTGCTAAACCACCGTTTTATCAACCAGTTCGGTTGGTGATTGGTCAACATCACGTCTGTCTCCTTAACTTCTCAGATTGCCATTACATTATCTGGTGATCATTTTCGGCAAAGGTCATTTTAACAGATTTGATGCCACGACCTTTAGGTCCGATGCCAGGGTCTAGTCAATAACCATGTCGGTTTCCAATGACATAAAGTTCCGATTGGTCTATGCAGGGTCATAGAGAATCATTGGCGGAATTTGTAACTGTTATTACAACATAATTATTTAAGGAAGTTATTGACTTACCTTAACTCTTTGAGTCCCAATGAACGCACCATGGAGTAAAGCATTTACTGCAGCGATCTTTAGGGTGCTCGACGTTCCCTATCTTTTTAGTGTCGCCTTTAGCCCCAGCTGTCAAAAGGTAACAGGGAAGTTTAAACCTGAAGGAATATTTTGCGACGCCACACATGTCAATCCATTGAATACTTCCTTTATATTACCTACTTAAAATATTAGCAATCTTTTTCGGTGACATTGTACTGTTGAACTGATCGTACAATGACATAACATGCTTCTTTAACATTTACTGGTATTCGTATTAATTAATCACTTCACCGTTACTCGAAAAATTTAACACAGCAGCTTAGCAATTGATGTTATTCGTCCTGTACCACAGGTGGAAGAAGCTCTCCTAGACCACGGTTCGTCTGTTGCTGTACCGTATTGGGATTGGATCTCCCCCATTACTAAACTGCCCGATCTCATCAACAAGGCCACTTACTACAACTCTCGCGAGCAGCGGTTTGATCCCAATCCTTTCTTCAGCGGTAAAATCCCAGGTGAAGATGCTGTCACAACAAGGTAAGAACTTGTTTAGCAGATATTATGAAAGCTTTTAGGTTGCAAATACTTGTATACAAAAACTAGAGAACAACTACCGACATGAAATGAAAGGTAAATGCGTGCAAAAACAAATTCCTGAAAAAAAAAAAAAAATTACAATGTAAAATTGGTTGAATTAAAAGGGCTGAATAAATTCGAAAAATGTCTGGGCAACCACAAATATCAACAGTTAAAGGACAGAGAAGATGGCGCTACATTGGACACATTTTGAGAAGAAACAAACAGAGAATTACTAAACAGGCACTATACTGGGAAATAAGGCGCTATGGGGGTGAGAACGCCCACAAGAAACCCTTAAACAAACATTGATAAAAGAGGCCAAAGGTGCTGGACTGGATTTCATCCATGATATTGTGCTGATGCGAGCCCTGCGGGACATCTGACGGCACAGCAGGACAATGAATAAATCAATGAATATACTTGTAACCATGCACAAATGTACTGGAAAATTGCAGGATCAAATCATGCAGACGTCTCGTTACAATGCGGTCACAACTACGGAGCGACAGCTAAAAAGATTTAACATGGAGCACCATACCATAGAATACCCAAGGAGAAGACGGATTGAGCACATCAAAGACATTCATAGAAACATCGGAAAGCGACTGGGCAGTGTCAAGAATTGGTTGCTGCATTGACAAACAATTTCCCTAACAATAAAAGTTGAAGATGCTGATGGGATCTACCTCAAACATTGGCAATAAGAAGACAAACTGCGACGCATCTAAATGGAAACATAAATCTTTATTAGAAATGAACAAAATTCCATGGACGGAGAGAAAATAAACCAGATGGTACCTGAATGTACTGATGCATGTACCAGACAGTTTAGTGATTAATTCAGATTTTTTGCTTGGTGATGAACCATGTGGTATCTTACGTGGATCAAGCAATGAAGTCGATTCTGTCGACTTTAAGTGTTAGAATATTCAGCTCTCATTTGGGAGATGCATTTTCGAATCCTGGGTAAGGTGATGATTCTTTTCTGACGCGGTCTAAAGCACAAATAATTCTAATCTGCACAGTCGTGGCCAATTGCATCAGCTCCTTAATCCTCAGCCTAAAGACCCCCTCCTCACCCCATTTAACGCAACCACAAAAGTTTTAAATAAAGCCACCGGAGATAGAAAAACCAGAACTCACAGGACCAATCGCCACATGTTACAACTGCTTCTACTTGTATGTGACATTGATCCATTTTGGCTTGTCAACTCATATATCTTTACGTCCTTTTTAGGACGTAATTTTTTGTTACTTGAAGCCCCACTCTGGCTTTTGCCAGGGGCCGCAATATAGGCAGGCCATAACTATAGCCAATTGTCAGAACGCGATTTCTAGGACCTCTGCCCAGTGATCCTCACCTACATGGTGGCACTTTGTGTCATCGGGTGTTTGTCGCTTGTGTGATGTCCTGATGGGTTAGAAAGTCAGTCAGTCAGTCATTTTGGCTTGTCAATGACAGAGATTTCAAAATAGGGCTTTCTTCAATCTTTCTACATCCTCTTTGTGTCGCTGGTGACACATAAAGCATTCACAAGTTATTCCCCATTTCTGCCATTGTGCTTCTTTCTTGCCTGTGGTATCCCATATCAGTTTACACTCTCTCATTCTCCCTTTTACCGTCCTTCTCCAGGTTCCCTTAGGTCCTCCACTTCTTCTCTGTCCATCTGCCGTTCACCAGGTGTCACCAGGTTTTGTACTCAAACCATATCCCTCTTTTTTCCTTGATGCCGCTTGTCAGTGATAAACAAATGTTTCCTTTCTCGGTTTTTCATTAGTGATCTTGTTTACCCGAAATATTCGCAGGATTCTCCTTTTCTGTTGTTGCTGATAAGTCTCTAGTTTAAGTTTTAATTTCCCCATTTTCATTGTTAAGAGTTTTCTTGTATTTGATTCTTGAATTATTAAAATGAAAAATTAATTACACTTTGACAATATTATTTACAGGGACCCTCAGCCTGAGCTCTTCAACAACAACTACTTCTACGAGCAAGCCTTGTACGCCCTAGAGCAGGACAACTTCTGCGACTTTGAGATCCAGTTTGAAGTCACCCACAACGCCCTGCACTCGTGGCTGGGAGGACACGCCAGATACTCACTCTCCTCGCTCGACTACACAGCTTTTGATCCCGTTTTCTTCCTGCACCACGCAAACACTGACAGGTGAGTTTGTCAGCAAGGTATGGGTTTTTAAAAAAAAATCCAGCTTAAGAAGAAGTAGAACTGGTCAGTCAACTGAAAACGTCTAGGTGTTCGTCCAGTTCTGGACTTCGATCTTGTTTAGAATTTGAGTTTTTTGTGCGTACATCTGTTTTACAGATCTTGCTCATGTTATGCAAACTTTTGGTTCCTACTCTCTTAAATGGGTGCACTCCTATTTTGGTATTACTACCCATTAAATACTACCCGGTAATTACAACCCAGAGACCAGGGGCAATTAATAAAACGTCCACGTGAAAAAAGATTCCAGCCTTCACAGGGGCTTGATCCGCGGACCCCTAGCACTCGAGGCAGACACCATGCCTTGAGACCACGCAGCCCTCTGTTAACTGAAGTCATGGGAGAAGATAAAAGCAGATTACCAACAATTTAAATGTATAATATTGAATATTTAATAAAGGCAATATTTACAAGCTGTGATTTCATTGTTCAGCTCAAACTATTTCTTTACAATAGTTCTGAGATTGCTGGCAAACATCAAATGTAATGTGTGTTCGAGGATTTTATTATATAATTCACACTCATCTTGTACCAAACTGTATGTTGCTGGCCGAATGGTTAGCAGCTAGGCTCTGAAGTGCGAAAGGCTGGTTCTAACCTTGATAAGGTTGAGATTTGTTTTTTCGTTCCAAACCACTTGGTGATTGGGATATGCTTACCCTGCATGCAAACAGTGGCGGATTGTGCGGATGAAACCTTGTATTGGTTCAACAGACACGAAAAGGACTAACAGCAGGCTCTGCGGAGAGACTCGAGCAAGGCAGGGCACGTAAGACGCCTTGTCCATCCACCGCACCTAGGTCCATTTCCAATTGTTAACAACATGGTCCTGCCATTGGGTCATGATAGACACAGGCGAGAGTGTGAGGTCGATGAATTACACATCTCTTCCTTACTCAAATCCAAATCCCGTCGCAAGTCACTTTTATTAATTTACCATCCACTTTTAATGTAGATGTAACTCTCTAGTATTGCACCCGACGAGATACAGCCAAACGTGCCTTGCAAAAAATTTAAATACGCCCTTTAATATTATATAATTACACTTTGTGTGATCTAGATTGTGGGCAATCTGGCAAGAACTGCAACACTACAGAGGTCTTCCATACAACGAAGCTGACTGTGCAATCAATCAGATGAGGAAACCACTGCAGCCGTTCCAGGATAAGAAGCTCAATCCACGAAACATCACCAACATTTACAGGTAATATGAAACACAAACATTTACAGGTAATACGAAACACAAACATTTACAGGTAATACGAAATATCACAAACATTTACAGGTAATACGAAACACCAACATTTACAGGTAATACGAAACATCAACATTTACAGGTAATTCGAAACATCACCAACATTTACAGGTAATTTGAAACATCAAACATTTACAGGTAATACGAAACACCAACATTTACAGGTAATACGAAACATCACCAACATTTACAGGTAATACGAAATATCACCAACATTTACAGGTAATACAAAACATCACTAACATTTACAGGTAATACGAAATATCACCAACATTTACAGGTAATACGAAACACCAAAATTTACAGGTAATTCGAAACATCACCAACATTTACGAGTAATACAGCTATCGAAATACCACTATTGCCGCCTTGGTGTATGTGTAAGGTAATACTCGCCATCACCAACATGGGTACAGTTAATATGAAACATCACAAGAATTACATAGGTAATATGAAAGGTCCATCACCAACATTTACAGGTAATTTGGTAAACATCACACCAACATGTTACAGTACGGTAATATGAAACATCACCAACATTTACAGGTAAATACCCAATGTAATGTGCGCACGAACATTACAGTGAGTACTAAGAACATGCAGAACATACAGGTATCTGTAAATTTTACAAATTTTCATAGGTATCACAAACTATTACCAACATTTACAGCTATCACTTTATTACAACTATGGCCGCCTTGATGTAGCGGCTAAATACTCGCATGCGGGTCAAAAGGTCGTTAGTTCGTGTCCTGACGGAACGTAACTCTTTTCAGAAATGTCCATACATTGTTCTGTACCAGGTCCATTATGGGAAGTAAAAGCCAACCTGCGCTGATTGGTCATTATAAATAGATCGCAACCCTATGTGCCCAGTACGCCTGAAGACGTAGAAGAGGGCGCTTTCACGGAAATTTAACCGTGACTTTAATGCAACCCAATGCTAGATGTGATGTGATGCAACGATACACATAACACTATGTGTGGGAGTCTATCTTCTTCAAAGAATTATGCAGAAGATCACCAGGTAAGGTGACACCGAAGCAAAGTAAGGAATTACCTTCACTCTTTTGTTTTGAGAATCCTGGGTTGAACATAAAAGTTAAAATCATTTTACTGCAGACATTCTGCACCACTTCCAAGTAGAAACGACACGCTTGAATTGAATCGTGGACTATCTCCCAGCGCTTAATACAGCCAAGAGAACGCGTGTTGCCGGATCCTGATGAAACATTGGTCTTTCAAAATACCAAAGGACAAAAATATTGACATTCTTAAAGACATGAACATAAAAGAAGACTTTCTAATAATCACTGTCTGTCCTCGGAAGGTGACATATTTTGGCCATCTCATGCTAATGAATGTAGCTTAAAAAAATCGTCTAAGCTCTAGCAGCTGCTATCTGAAGTTTTGACTTCTGCCGATCCAAAGAGATTACAGGAGTAATCAAGATTATATATACACACAACACGAACACGGCACACACACACACTATAATAGGTTGAAATACTTGAGTATGAAAAATTGAGGGAGTCTGAAAGCTTGTAATAAGACCGAACAACAGAAAACAAATGTAAAATCTTGTAATGTCTTGTCCATCCTGCAAAGGACCTGCTACATGATGATGATGATGAACAATACACATATATGGGCCAGGTGTTTAGGCAGGAATGAGGTTGTTAGTCCGTGTTGCCTCAGGAATCACATTATTTTCTAATGCGTGTTTCTAGCTCTTTTTATTAATTATAGGTCTGATATCTCTTTATTTAATCTTGCCGTTATCTTTTCATTAGATCTATCTTTTGTAAAAAAAAATTCCAACTGTTGTTGCAATTGTACTAACAGTAAGCACATCTTTTCATTTTCAGCCGGCCTGCAGACACGTTTGACTACCGCAACCACTTCTTTTACGAGTACGACACGCTTGAATGTAACAGACCATACATCACTAATCAGTTGTCGTTTTCGTTCCTAGTGAAGCTTGTGTATAACTTATTCTTTTCACAGAATTTATCAATAATTTTATGCTACGATTTAAAAAAAAAAAAAAGCTTTGGATGCCTAACTAAACTATATAATACACGACTCGACTTTCAGAAGTACAGTCTATTATCTGTATGCATTTGAGCCAATTGGTTTAATATATGCAGGTAATATGCAGTTTATACGTGTATTCTTTCAAAGCACCCAACGCAAAAAAAAAAAAAAAAGGTTTTAAACAAAGTTATAACTTTCTTGTTTTTGTTTTGTCGTGGTTTCTTGCGTACTCCAGTGGTTTGGGTGCATTAGTTGTTCATCTTTGTTTGTTTACTTGTTTGCTTGTTTTATTTGTGTGTGTGCAAGATTCAATTACGTCGTCTGTCCATATTTTCGTTGGTCTGCTTCTCATCTTCCGCCCCAATATTCTGCTGGAGAAGGTATTATATACAGTTTGGCCTGGCTGCATTCTTACTAGATGGCTGAACCATTTCCTTCTCGTCTTTCAATATAATTCAATCCATGTAACCACTATACCTAATAGTGTATAATAGAGCCAGTAGTTCAACTTTACTACACAATACATCCTAGGCTGGCGTTTTCTCTGTCCTTGGCGGTGAGCTGGAAATGCCCTTCACCTTCGACCGTCTGTACAAGCAAGACATCACCAAGACCATCAAAGAGTTGGGTCTCAGGGTGGACAACGCTGCCAGCTACCAGCTGAAGGTTGAGATCAAAGCTGCCAATGGAACCCTGCTGGATCCACACATCCTCCCAGACCCCAGCATTATCTTTGAGCCTGGGACAAGTAAGTGCTTATTTTTCAACATTTTCTTCTCTCGTTTTACCTCTCAACTTAATACATATTTGGTAATTGCTTCATTGAAAGTTAGCTGCGTATCCTTTACAAGACCTCGCAGACCAAGTTGTTCGTATTGACAGTTTGCCATTTTACTTAATACCCTAGGATGCCTTTAGAAAATAGAAAGAACAAATTATCACATGCTCTATAGAGCCAGTTTTAACATATTACAGACAGACAGTTCATAACATTTGACATACAGACAGTTCATAAATGTAGTCGAATTTGTGTTTCAGTTTCTAGGATTCAGCTCTTTACTTCATCTTAATCAATTGTTACTGCAGTATGCACCTGAGGAGATACAGCGAAATATGCCAGGCAATAAATTGTGCAATCTATTGTTTGTGTCTTGTTTGTTCCAATTTACATCGGGGAAATACTGCCTTGAAATGACTGTGAATCCTGGACAATTAATAAACAAGCCGGAACTCTTCTTATGGCCTCGAAAATGTGATTTGACAGAAAAATTCTTATAATTTCTTTGACATCCCAAAAAGAGCAACCTATATGTTTTGAAATAGACGAGGGCTCAACGATAACTTGTCACAAACGTCAGAAAGTGACAGTCATCGTTTTATAGTCATCTTAAGAGAAGAAGGAAACTGGAACATATTGTGGCCACTAGAAAGATCTGTGGAAACCGAGCATGAGAAAGACAATGCGATACAATTCTTGAAAGCCTTTTGTCATGATAAGGAGGAGTATCAGCACAGGAAAGGATACATGCTGTTAAAGATCGCAGATTCTAAAGAGGCACGACCGCCCACGTCAGTCAGCAAGGCACGTCATGGTGATAATGATGGTGATTAAAAAACTCCTTGCCTTAGCCCCACTACACATTTGTTAAATGTCAGAATCCCAAAATGTGAGCTATTGTTGTTGATTTCAGAGGAAGTACAAGACCAAGATGGACAAGTCAGCAGCTTTGTCGTGAGGAAGAATCTTGAGGGTTTGAGTCCTCGCGAAACACTGTCTCTCATCCATGCTTTGGAAGCCTTTGAGGCCGACAGTTCCGCTGATGGATTCCAGTCCATTGCTGCTTTCCATGCCGTGCCCCCTCTCTGTCCGAGTCCTACTGCTAGCAAGAGGTGAGCACCATTATCACATTTCAGCTGAAACATTTCAGCTGAAACATTTATCAACTTACCTACAACACCAGTCACCTTTGAATTGCAGTATTAGTCAACTCATTAACAACACCTGTCACTTTTTAATTAAAGTATAAGTCAACTTACACACAATACCAGTCACTTTTTAATTAAAGTATAAGTCAACTTACACACAATACCAGTCACTTTTTAATTAAAGTATAAGTCAACTTACACACAATACCAGTCACTTTTGAATTGAAGTATTACTCAACTAACACACAAGTTATCTTTTACTTGAAAAAGTCATTTTACCTACAAAAATAATCACCTTTCACTTTAAATGTTAGTCAACCCACTCACAAAAGGAATTCTATTTTAATTGACACGTAAATACTTGGAGGCACTGGTCGAGAGGTTAAGAACACTAGAGTGTCATTCAGAAGATCGAAGTTCAAATTCTCAACGCAGTGATTGTTTTGCTTCTTTTGTCGATAGCGGTGCAAAATAAACAGGTTCTATACCTCCTTGTTTTGCACCGTCATTATAAAGTGAAAAATTCGAGCACTGACATTTGTAGCAATAGTGATTGTAAGATACACATTTTAGGCGATGCAAAGAATTTTAAATGAGATTTAAGAAAAACTGATAACCCTTGTACAAAATGCTCTTGACATACTGAATCATACGGATCTTTTCTTTAAAGTGCAAAACAAAGATGGATATCTTCTTATTTTACTCATTAATGAAGACATGAAAACACCTTGAATTACTCGTTTGTATACACATGAGCATACAACTTCAGTTCATGGCGACATTCTTAAGCTATGGTCTCTGGGGGTTGCAATTTCAGTGTTCTAAGATTTTTTTACGTGGACTTTGACTTCTAGTATTTCCCCCTGGTCTTTGTATAGTAAGATCGGACGCCCGCGTGCATTTTTGCGCGCGTAAAAATTCCCTTGGCAGTTTGAAATCGAAAAGAGTAGCCTAACGTTGCTGCCCGGGGCACAATTTTGAGCTAAAAATAGGCCTAAAGTATTTCAGGATTCTCGCAGGTGCTACAGAGCATGTGCACTGTACTGAGTTCCTTTGGACTCAGACTTGAGTTAGAAGAAGAACGGAGCACTTATGGGTTACCACCCGTGTTCTATGATGTTTATGCGTTGTTGAAAACCTAAAGCATCAAAACCTCATTGTCGTGATGAAATGTATAGGTGTATATCCGTTACAAAGATTGATTCCCTAAAGTAATATATTAGAAGATCAGATTTCCTTTTCCAGTAGTGGATTTCTAGCAGTAATATGTTTGAAAGGCATACATCAATGACGATGAATTCTTCTTTCGTCCTCAGATATGCTTGTTGCCTTCACGGGATGTCCACCTTCCTTCAATGGCACCGTCTGTACACTGTCCAGGTTGAAGACGCTCTCAGGCGCCATGGATCCCTCGTGGGCATCCCTTACTGGGACTGGACCCGAGCCAGCCAATCCTTGCCACACTTCCTTAGTGACGTAAACTACACTGACCCATACACCAAACTGACCCTGGAGAACCCATGGCATGGTGCCAGCATTGATTTCGAAAATTCACATACTGAGAGGGACATTCAGGTATGAGGGACTTTGTGGTAAAGGCACGCCCATCTCATTCCTCGTAGTTTATCTGCTCTTTCTCATTCTCTTGAATTACTTACATCATATACGAGTTGAGGAGAGAGGTAAGGATCTTCTATGTGCTGTTAATAATGTGTTTCACAGTTTCATCTTTATTTCTTTACGGCTGTTGTTGAAGCTGGAGTTCTATCTTGTACATGGTCTTTGACACAGATGTCATTGAGTATCGTCCAGAGTTTGGAGAAGAGACCGACGTGTGCTTAATCAGTGTACTACTGGGAAAGTTAGCATCTAAACCTTGAGATTTGCTAGGGGAGACGGAGCATCTATGGCCTGCCCGGTGTGCAATGATTTCGATTCATAAAACAGTCATCAGTAATCAGTGACCATTATCTAAAAAGACGGAAAGGTTTTACGTCTAACACACGTGTTTTGTATTGTTCTGCATCGTTTCTCCTCTTTTCTCATTTGTTTTCCTCCCAAAAGCATTATTTTCGTAACTTTGTCAAATAAACACATATTAATCTCCTTTTCTCTTCCCTCTCTATCGTTCTTTTTGTTCTCACTCAGTCTTTTTTTCTATTATTCTATTACGTTTTCGTTTTGTTGTTGTTGTGGTTGTTTTGTTGTTGTTGTGGTTGTTTTGTTTCTTCAAAGCTTTGTTCTCTCAATCTGTCTTTCTCTCTAATTCGTTATTTCATTCTTTCTCTCTCGTTCATTTCTTTTCTTTCCTATTTGTATCCTTTCTTCACTCATTCTGCATGTCAACTGTTTTTCTCTCTCTCCTTTTCTTTTTTACCTTTATCTATATTCCATCTCTCTGTCAGCGACTGTCGACCTATTCAGATTTGAATTAGGTAGTCATCATCATCATCATTGTCATCCTCATCACCACCATCATCACCCCCATCATCATCTTCGTCATCAGTAAAACTCTCATGTATCTTGTCCTCAGAGTGATAAACTGTTCAAACTTGGACCTCACGGCTGGGACACCTGGCTCTTCGAGCAAGCTCTGCTAGCACTAGAACAGGAAGATTACTGCGACTTCGAGATCCAGTTTGAAATTACCCACAACGCAATCCACTCGTGGGTTGGTGGGTCCAAAGAGCACTCACTGGCTCACCTTCACTACGCTTCTTACGACCCTGCTTTCTTCATCCATCACTCCAACACTGACCGACTATGGGCTATCTGGCAAGCTCTGCAGAAACATAGAGGATACAATCCAAACGAGGCTAACTGCGCACTGGAGCACATGAGAGTGGGTTCTGTTGTTTTGTTTTAAATCTTCTGATTCACTTGTCAATATTTTAAATCTGCCAGCAAACAGTACGGCATGAATGATACGGGAGCCTTTAAAGTTAGTGAGAAAGTGAACCGAACATCACAACTCAGGATACAATAATAGTCAGTTACATACAAGATAATCAACTGAGGGCAAACAACAGATGTCGGTCCAAACTATTTCCATTTTCACACGCTTATTTTTCTTTAACCAGTTTTCACACGTATTTTAAAAAAAAAATATGAGGTTTGCTGTTTTGAATAACAAATCGACATTATGACACACGGGTAGTAATCGAGAGTTGATCTGTTTCTCTTCTTACTCAAATCTGAGCCCGAAAAAGATCAACACAGTGCACAGGCTCTGTAGCACCGGCGGCGATCATGAAAAACTTTGGGTAGATTTTTCAACTCCAAATTTTACCCGGGTAAGGCCGTTAGGCTACTCTTTTCGATTTTTAAGTGAGTTTTTTACGTGCGCAACAATGCACACGGGCGTCCGATCTAACTACCTAGATAACAGGGGTAATTACTGTAAGCCCAAGTGCTCGTGAAAAAAAAACAAAACCCCAGCCTTTACCGGGGATTGAACCCGGAACTTCTAGCACTTGACGCGGACACCATGCCTAGAGACCAAGCAGCTCCCCATTTAACAAACATATGGTCACCGAGAGTCATCGCCGGGATTCATACTATTTTTTTGTTTTGTTTTAAAAAGAAGCAACAAACAACAGATGGGGTGTTAGGGCAAATGTAAAGTTCTGTATGACCTTGAGTGAACGTGAGGTTTAGCTAAGAAGATAGGGCACATCAAACACTTGCAAAAGACGGTGGTTGCCGCAACTGCAGATGTTATCCTCGACACCAGTGAGAAGACGTGGCAGGAGATGGAATACCTCCCAGACATTACCAGACCTACAAATGGTTCCCATGTTGAAGTATACTTAGTTGGGTCTATAGATTAAACGTGTTCTGAACATTTTAAGAAGCCATATGATTAAATATTTATGGTATAATAACAGTGTAAAATCCTGGCAATAACTCAATGACCGTGTTCAGCATTTGTAACAGAACAGTGGAGACGTAACGCAGTGGCAGGTCCAAATATCACGGGAAACAAATCAGCATTGACTCGAGAGTTGTCCTAAAGAGTAAAGGCAACTAGCGTCATGCTACACAAAATGGCACCGTTCACCCAATGCGACAAATCCATTAAAAGGGTACTTCGTTAGTTTACTCACCAAACTTTTAGCTCTGCAGCTCGACTACTGTATTGATGGTACGACACTGTGCTACGTATTTCATTTGGAATCCTTCCCGTGTGGGTTGCAGGGCCCTATTATAGGGAAAACCAGAAAAGAGCCACTGCCTACCCAAAGCATGTCGTAAGAGTCGACTAATTAGGAGCTTCCTTTGAATTCGGATTGCATCTGCCTGAGAGGCAAGGAACCAGTAATCTGCATACAAATTAGTCAGATCTGTAAAAACGTGTGCACTCGCAACACTCAGGTTCTGGAACAGTACTGCAGTCCACAAGTGGACGAACAACCAGAACTTCTGACCTTAGTTTACAAATAGTGAACGCGAAGAAGAAAAAGATGATTTAGAATCCTTTTCGACTATGCCAAATGTGCTTTGTGAACTGCAGATTGGGAAAATAGTGAATTGCCTGTTGCTAGAGAATAGGTGGCAACGATCTGTCAGTTGTGATTGCTCCTTCTCACGACAATAAACTGAATCTGAAATGTCGAACTGTTAGTGTTGGCACTTGTGAAGGATGAATTATGCATTTGATGGGTGTGTATGCTTCTGACTTTGTTTAAACTGCTTTATGTGTCAATTTTTTCCCTCACATAGGACAGTAATGGACTGGTTTATGTTGCACAGAAACGGAGTAATTGTGGAGTGATCATTTGCAATAAAGTTGCAACTGCGATTACCTAACAAGAGAAGTGTACACTTTCCTGAAGCGTTGTTAGAATTTAAACTTTGACATTGTCTCCAATTGCAGGACTCACTGAAGCCCTTCAGCTTTGGACCTCCTTACAATCTCAACAAACTGACGGAAAAGTATTCCCACCCTCAAGACACATTTGCCTACCAGGAACACTTCCATTATCAGTACGATAACCTGGAGTTTGTCGGCATGAACATCCCTGCTCTTGACGCCTTCATCCATGAGAGACAGGAGCATGACCGAGTCTTTGCTGGTAATTAGCAGCTCTTTTTGTTGATGTGATCCATTTATTACTAGCCTCATGAGGGCTAACAGACCGAAATGGGTCGCGCGAAGTAAGAGAATGTCAGATGACAGAGAGGTAAAAATTGTGTACACAAGGAAGTTGAATGGCCGTAGACCACCGGGTAAACCAAGAAGACAGTGGAGACATAATATACAGACAGACTTGCAAACAACTGACTTTACCAACTGGAAATAAAGGACTAATCACAGGGAAGAATGAAGGTAGGTGAGGTCCCCAGCAATGACCCTTAAGAGCTCGATATGCTGCAGAAGAAGGCCATTGAAGCACTAATGGCAAAGCTAACTACAAAGATCCATGGAGAGAATGTAAATCTTCTCTTGCCAATATCTCCTTATGTCACTGGACGTCACAGTTTATCAGAAGATCGACAGCCGAGCCAGGGCGAGCAGGACTGCTGGATATGCCGTTATGTTATGCACTCAAGGTGCTAATGACTACGTCAATCCATATTCTCCTCAGTCTTCCCCTACCACTTGTTGTTTCAATTTTTATTGTTCGCTCTTGCTGCTCGAATTATGAGTTTCATTCTCATTAGATAGCTGAACCATTTCAGTCTTTAAGAATTAAAGTAATGCATACAAATGCAAACAAACGTTTTAAACAAAGTCATTACTGTCAGATCATCATCATCATGTAGGAGGTCCTTTGCAGAACGTCGCTCTCATCACATTCTGCCTTGAGAAATTCGGTCTCTTGCCAGTTCTCCCACCTCATGAACTTTCACACTCAAGGAGTCACTTATATCCTGTACCCATCTTCGTGTCGGTCGGCCTCTGCCCCTCCTTCCTGGTACCATGCCTTCTGCTTTAATTTTTTCCAACCCGTCGTGGCGCTTGATATGACCAAAATATTTCAGCTTTCGAGAAACGATGCTGTTTATTAGCCAATCTTCCTTGATGTTCAGATCTTTTAAGATGTCAATATTTCTAATCTTCTTTGTCCAAGATATTAAGTAGAAATATTAAGTAGACTGTCGGATATAAAGTATACAAATTTGACTTGAAAGCGTATGTAACAACACAACAGAGCCTATAAGCAGATATGGTCAAATTGAAATCAGAAACAGGCATTCAGAGAAAATATAAAGGGCTATATCGTATAGGTCTCTGCCATTCCTGTTTACTATGTGCTATTGTTTTTAGGCAACCCATATATATATATATATATATATATATATATATATATATATATATATATATATATATATATATATATATATATATATATATATATATATATATATATATGTGTGTGTGTGTGTGTGTGTGTGTGCATGTAAAGTGGTAGACAGTCTTTATTTCATGGGCAGCCCAAAGCAAATTGTCTGAGAACATTTTTTATTGTGTTGAACATCCTGTGGTTATAAAAACTTGTAAAGGTGATGTTTACTGATGTCCTGATCCTTGACCGTACAGCTCGGCAGGCTAAACCACACAGCTGTTATCCTTTGTGTGAGCCACATTTAAAACTCCTTTGGAGATTAAACTGGGTATCTGGGATTGACCATACTAGCTTGCCATCGATATTTAAGTTTTGTTATCTCAGATTGGTCAAAACTTCAGTAAGCAGTTCAGAAAAAAGAAAACGGAAGAACAGTTCAGTTTGGAAGAAACTGGCAACGACAGCTTCTAATATAAACATATATGTATATTGGATAAAAGAAAAAAAAAACGTTGAAATATTATTTTATCGTTTGGGGGGGGGGGGGGGGGGGGAGGGGGGATAAAAGGGAATACCTCTTGTAAATATTATTTTATAATGTGTTTGTTTAGGTTTCCTCCTGCATGGGTTTGGCACTTCAGCTACCGTAGACTTCACAATCTGTGATGCCTTCAAACAGTGTTTTGACGGTGGTTACTTCACCGTTTTGGGTGGATCCCAGGAGCTACCTTGGCAGTTTGACAGACTCTACAAATACGACATAACTCACCAGGTTCGTGTCATAGCTCTAGAACGAGGATGGCATATCTGTTATAGATCCATCGTGTGTGTCTGTTAAGTTTAGAACCATGCAGTCATGTATCTTTTAGATTCACACGTTTGTCTGTTAGGTTTAGAACCAAGCGGTCATGCATCTTTTAGATTCACACGTTTGTCTGTTAGGTCTAGAACCAAGCAGTCATGTATCTTTTAGATTCACACGTTTGTCTGATAGGTCTAGAACCACGCAGTCATGTATCTTTTAGATTCACACGTTTGTCTGTCAGGTCCAGAACCAAGCAGTCATGTCACTTATAGATTCACACGTTTGTCTATTAGGTCTAAAACCAAGCAGTCATTATCTTTTAGATTCACACTTTTGTCTGTTAAGTCTAGAACCAAGCAGTCATGCATCTTTTTGATTCACACGTTTGTCTGTGTTAGGTCTAGAACCAAGCAGCCATCTATCTTTTAGATTCACAGGTTTGTCTGTTAGGTCTAGAACCAAGCAGTCATGCATCTTTTAGATTCACACGTTTGTCTGTTAGGTCTAAAACCAAGCAGTCATTATCTTTTAGATTCACAGGTTTGTCTGTTAAGTCTAGAACCAAGCAGTCATGTATCTTTTAGATTCACATATTTGTCTTTTATGTCTAAAATCAAGCAGTCATGCATCTTTTAGATTCACACGTTTGTCTTTTAGGTCTAGAACCAAGCAGTCATCTATCTTTTAGATTCACAGGTTTGTCTCTTAGGTCTAAAATCAAGCAGTCATGTATCTTTTAGATTCACACGTTTGTCTGTTAGGTCTAAAATCAAGCAGTCATGTATCTTTTAGATTCACACATTTGTCTGTTAGGTCTAGAATCAAGCAGTCATGTATCTTTTAGATTCACACGTTTGTCTGTTAGGTCTAGAACCAAGCAGTCATGTATCGTTTAGATTCACACGTTTATCTGTTAGGTCTAAAACCAAGCAGTCATGTCTGTTATAGATTTATCACGAGCATTTGTTAGGTTTAAAACCACGAAGTCATGTTTGTTATGGATTCACCAGTGTGTCTGTTAGATTTGAAACCATGAAGTCATATCTTTTATAGATTCATCAATGTGTCTGTTAGGTTTGAAACAATAAAGTCATGTCTGATATAGATTTACCAGTGTGTCTGTTAGGTTTAATACCATGATGTCATGTCTCTTATAGATTCATCAGTGTGTCTGTTAGGTCTAAAACCATGAATTCATGTCTGTTATAGATTCACCAGTGTGTCTGTTAGGTATAAAACCATGAAGTCATGTCTGTTATAGACCCATCAGTGTGTCTGTTAGCATTAGAACCATTCAATGATGTATCTTTCAGATTCATCACGTGTGACTGTTAAGTTTAGAACCAAATAGTTTTTTTTTTTTTTTTTTTGCTTTAGAGCAATAGATCCTCTTGGCATACGAAGTATGCCTGTAAGTGAGTGAAGGACGTTCAAAATGAGTGGGACCATACAACGAGGGACAAACACCCAGTGACATAATGTGCCATAATTCGGATTGGAATCTTCCAGACACATGTCCTAGAAACCCGGCTCAACCGCCTTGTTTGGTCACGTGCTAGAAAAACACATCCCGAAAACAAAAAACAAAAGCACGTTAAAGATTCAGACGCCAGGTTGAAAGGCACATACAGTAGGGGTGAGTCCTTCCATGCAAACATCGCATTACGTACGCCTTTGTTAATGTACACATTTTCTTAACAAAAAGTTAATGGCCTCTGCTTTCAGTTGGAAGAGCACAAAATTCGCTACGATGACGACTACCACTTCCATGTTCACATCAAGGCCCTCAACGGAACGGAGCTGGACAGTAAACTTATCCCAGAGCCCAGTGTGCTTTTTGTGCCAGGCAAACGTGAGTACACACCCTTTGCTCTTCTCTCACAGATTTTTCTTTGCCACCAAACTGCAGTTAAAATAGCTAGTTGTGTATCGTTTGCAAGAGGTTGCAGAACAAACCTCCGCCTTTTTTAGCTGTTGTGGTTTGTCTTAACACATTTTACGTTCAGAAGTTTGTCATTGCTGAACGATCAGCTCTCGGTACCACTATCGAAACCAATGCAAGACATATCGTCCACAGCTTGGATCAAACCCAGAACTACGAAGCGCGTCCGCAACGCCTAAGTCACAAATGCCGACACTGCACCATTGGTAGTGAAGTTGCTAAACGCTTGTCTGCCGCCCTGAAGGTCTTAAGTTCAAATCTGCATCTAGACTGGTTAATTTTTTTTAAAACTGACCTTAGTTTTTAGATCCATCCAGTGAAAATTTGTTTATCAGCTAAAGGCTTGGTATATAATGACGGTGGGCAAGATACGGATTCCATCAGCCATCGAGTGTTGACTGGTCTTAGAAAAATAAGTGTAGCGTCAAATGACGGATGGGTTACAGTCGGGGCAGGAGATCAAAACTTGCATTAGCTCCCCTGTTGCCACTTTTGGCGCTGAAACACTACTCTCGATGTTGAAAAAGGAGAATGAGCGTTTAAGAGAATGTGCAAAATGTTGTAGTGCTGGTTGTTTGCTCAACTCTGTATAGACAGATAAAATATAGATGTGGATTAAGGGGGAAAAGTGCCATATATGTTTATCCATATCAGTCAAGTGCACAGGCTTGAGGTGGACAGAATGGAACAAGTGTGGTTAACCAAATATAAGAGAGAGAGAGAGAGAGAGAGAGAGAGAGAGAGAGAGAGGGGGGGGGGGAAGACAAGGGGCGTTGAGAGAGACAGCGGAGTTAAATATACTAAGTGCAGTAAAAGTAAAAAGAACCTTAAAAAACAATAAGAAAAATTTAAGACGCAAGCAACCGAGGGTACGTGAATGAATGTCGACTGTTGAATTAAATATCGACACCATAGCACCCAGTACAACCTCCTTAAGCGTTCCGTCCCCATTTGTAGCAGTAAGAGAAGAGTTGCAATTCCGATTGTCCAAGCAACCGCTTGATTGTTCATCCTCTCGCCTTTTCCTTGAGTGTTGAGCGTCAGTCAGATCCCCTGGAAGCTTACAGCAGATCCATTCCTCAGTCCGTATTGATCTATTTGTGCCTCCGCACTGTTCACTCGTTGCCAAGGGAGTCCTTAAAATATCCATTTCGTCACACGTTTTGTGCGTGAAAAACAGTGGTCTTACAGAGTATAGCCAAGCTTAAAGTGGCAGAACTACTAAATACAGCAACACAAACTTGGACCGGAAAGTTCATCGGAGGCAATGCAGAAGACGCCCGTAAACACCATCGAACGTTTCGACGAAAGTCTTCATTTGTGTACTGTATTTAACGAATAACGTTGCTATTTTGACTTTTAGTGCCAGAGTCCTAATAATTCTTTTCCTTAAAATTGCAGAAGATGCTCTTCACGTAGAGGTGACCGACAACAACGTCCGTCGTAACCTGAAAAACCTTGATAACAGGGACATTCAGAGCTTGCAGGCGGCCCTGCGAGACCTCCAACGCGACAACTCCAAGGGTGGTTGGGCTAACATCGCATCCTACCACGGAGCGCCAGCACGTTGTCCAGACCCGGAACACCCAACAGTGGCTTGCTGTGTCCACGGCAAGCCGACCTTCCCACACTGGCACAGGCTCTTCATTCTGCAGGTACGGCCGTTGTTAACACTGCCATCTTTACTTTGTTCCGATAGATTCTCCTTCATGTTAGCAGTGTCACTTTCATTCTGGTTGTGTCAAATAGATCCATACTAAAAACTTAGATCATGGAAAGCAAAGTCTTCATACGAAAACACAACCACGATCCACCGCCAGAGTTAACAGCTATTGATCGCAAACAAACATAGAGACAATTCTTGTTGTAACACACCAACATTGACTTTATCCTGTTGTATTTATGTTCATGTTGACTGTGTAAGAATTACTGTTTGTTAATGCTGTCACATTAACCGTCATGTGAGTTACATTAAATTGATTCTCCTGTTGCATTAATTACTCAGTTAATTGCTTTGCAATTATTTAATTATACTCCGTGTGGGTTCCAGGCCCTATTATAGGGAAAACAAGAATAGACCCATTGCCTACCCAAAAGCATGTCGTAAGAGTCGACTAATTGGGAGCTTCCTTCGAAGTCAGAGTGCATCTACTAGAAGACAAGGAACCAACAGCCTGCACACATATGCGTCAGATCTGTCAAACTGATGCACATGCAACACTCAGGTTCTGGAACAGGGCTGCAGTCCAAAAGTGGACGAACAACCAGAAATTTCCACCAAAGATTATAGCCATTAAAAGCAAAGAAGAAATAGAAGAAGATTCGGTTATATTAGGTAAAGTACATTGATGAGTTATGGTATCTGCAGAACATGGATGAATTTACCTATAACCACTTTATAGTATTTCTTAAAATAAAAATGGAAGACTTTTTTTTGGGAACATATTTATTGTTGTTTTATGACAGCTTGTATAATTTTGGTTGCATAACTGAAGCCTCACTTGCCAACTTCCACATTTATCATTGTGACACCCACGTAACCTGCATATATTCTGATGGATTAGGAACCTTTTATCTTCTACTGCTCAGATTGAACAAGCTCTCCACAAGCATGGAAGCTCAATTGCTATTCCCTACTGGGACTGGACCTTTGCTATTGAAAAGCTGCCAACTACCTTCACCGATGAAGACTACTACGATGCCTGGAAAGACGAGGTATGTTTTCTCTCCAGAACTTATTTCCTTCTTTGTTTGCTTCTTTCTGTAATCATATTTTCATTCTTGCAGCGTTTATCGACTGTGAAGATAGTGTTTGACTGATTTGCCTTCATTCTACTTTGTCCACGACTTGCTAATTTGGTGAGGTATTTTGATAAAATTTCAATCGTGCAAACGATATGCAATCTCTTAGACAAAAAAAAAAAAAAAAAAATTAGCTGGGTGTTGAGTTATACCAATAGTCTCCATGGGGGATGCAATTTTTCGTTATCTGAAGCCCCACACTGGCTTTTGCCGCAGGCCATGGATATATCCGGGCCATAATTATGGCCTAAAGGTCGAAAGGGGTTTCTGGGACCTCTCCATGGGTGATCCTTATCTGCATGGTGGCACTTTATATCACCGCGTGTTTATCGCTTGTTTGATGTCTTGGTGGGGTATAACGAGAGAGAGAGAGAGAGAGAGAGAGAGAGAGAGAGAGAGCTATGTGACGCACTGATACACAAATCTAGGGTAGCAATGTAAAGATAAAAGAGCAGATAGAGATATAAAAAAAAAAAAAAAAACGAGTACAATGACAATAGCTTTCGTAAAGCTAAAAAGTTTAGTGAAGACATTATACATAGTGTAGAATGCTTAACTCTGAAGGAAAATAAACAGCAATATATGGATGCGGAGTATAGAGACGACTTAACTAGCAATTACTTAAGACCAAACTTCAAGCTTTCGTGAACCAAAGCAATACTGAAAAGGACAAACTGCAAGTCAGAACAGAATCGCTACGGCAAAGATGAGGGAGAGAACCGAACAAAACTGCAACAGCTCAAGTGGCAGGGGAAATAAGAAATCAGACAGAATATACATGAAGAAAACTTGTAAATTGTATAACTTGGATGTATTTTCACTGAAACCTACGAGTCAAAACATATGGAAGAAAATTTTAAATCATATTCTAAAAAGAAACAGACATAATTAGAATGGTTGCACGTAATGTTCCTCAACTTCCTGTCAAGGAGGACTTGGTGATCCTTTGAAGTAAGATTCATAGACATGAATCAAATCTTGTCATCTCCTGGTGGGATGCAATTCTTCGTTATTTGAAGCCCTACTCTGGCTCTTGCCAGGAGTCGCAATGTAGCCCGACTATAAATGTGGTCTAATGGCCGAACGCGGTTTCTGGGACTTCTCCGCGGGTGATCCTCATCCACATGGTGGCACTCTGTGTCATCGGCTTTTTGTCGCTTGTGTGATGTTCTGCCGGGGTAAAAGAAGATAGATAGATCGTAGACATCGGTGTGAGATCACTGTTATCAATGCTGGAAAGATATTGCTATCTAAAAAAAGGGCATATGTAAGAAATATAATTACTGTAAAAGTAATGTTTTAACAAGTTTCCTCTTGCCTCTCTAGGTACTGTCCAACCCCTTTGCCCACGGCTATGTCGCCTCAGAGGACACATACACTGTCCGTGACATCCAGGACCGCATCCACAAGAAACATGAGGATGGCGTACACTCTTACCTCTTCTATCATGTCCTGGATCTGCTGGAGCAGACTGACTATTGTGACTTCGAGGTGAGTTCTTGTTGGCAAGTTAGTTTGCTGTGCGTTATTTTGTGTGTGTGTGTGTGTGTGTGTGTGTGTGTGTGTGTGTGTGTGTGTGTGTGTGTGGCTGTTGATCTGATATTCATACCAAAGATATGCTACCAGTGCCAGACTTGGACATTATAAAATGCTACGATCGCAAACAAACATAGAGACAATTCTATATTACTGTCAAATAAAATGCGCGAGGAAGACCGCGAACTTTACCACCCGAGACAAGGTGAGATATGATATTACTAGACTGTGGGACAACGCCACGCAGGAAATTCATTGTGAAACAGAAGATCAAATGGTTGGTCATCTCGCTAGAACATAGCCAGAAGAACTACAGAGGCGCTACTAATAAATAGATCTGGTGTGAAAACAAAAGGTCGTACTAGGAGAACATAGACTGACGACGCTGAATGAGAATAGCCCTTGCTGCCTATCACTCTATGGATGGCAAACTTTTCTCCCCTACAGCTCTTAACGGCAAACTTAGAAATTGATGATAATACTGATAATAATGTTGATGATGACGGCCTCATGTACGTAATAGATTTATCATCTAGACTATATGTATGTATGCATACTCAACACACACCAAAACACACTGATGCCAAAAGTGTTAAGCATATGACGTCACGGTGCAGACGAAGATGGTGGTGTCATGAAAGTTTAAAAACAGTCATCCCACTTTTGACATACAATAAGAGGAGCAAGATTCTTTGTGATTTTTTCGTCAGATCAGTGAAGTGGTGAAACTTATAAGAAATTTATTAGCGAATGTAGATCATGTATGGCTATGTATGCCAGTCAGCATAACTCATGTGTAAATAGAGTAGGAGGTTTCTAGACGACTTGACTTCGCTGACAGACTGTCGACGTCACTCAGACACATATTTTAAAACTTCCTAATTCTTCATCAATCCACAGTTAATGCATTTGTAATATTCATTCCTAGGTACAATTTGAAGTTGTGCACAACGCCATCCATTATTTGATCGGAGGTCATCAAACATACTCTCTCTCCTCCCTGGAGTACTCAGCGTATGACCCTATTTTCTTCATCCACCACTCCTTCACTGATAAGATTTGGGCCGTCTGGCAAGAGCTCCAAAAGAGAAGGCATTTGCCCTACAACAGGGCTGACTGCGCCCTCAACTACATCAACGAGCCACTGAAACCATTCAACTTAGAAGCGCTCAATGACAACCAGTTCACTAGGTAAGGATTGCCGATGTATCTTGTCATGTTTTAGGAAATCAAAGAAGTGTTTTCCTGTTGTGAATTTGAACAAATAAGACACGAACAAAAAATTGCACAATTATTTCCTGTTATATTTAGCTGTATCTCGTAAGGTGAAAACGAGATTAATAATTGAATAAAAATTCAAATTGTATACACGCCTAGCAATCGTAGACTGCTTCGCAATATGGAAGCCACTATGAAAAACTGATTCAGTCTAGAATTACACAGCCAACGAGAATTGTATTGTTCCAATACGTTTGCTCTGGTGAAACAGACGGTTACTTACGAATCTGTTAGTCGAAACGTTCGACTGAACTGTGTGTAGTAATTCGTTGATAAAGACTTTGGTCGAAAGTTCGGTTGTGGCTGTATTTAGTAATATGTTGATAAAGACTGGTCGAAACGACTGCTTTATTTTCTTCACCTTTTTACAAAATGTTACGGTAGCATGACCCTCTCGATATACATTTGTGCATTTGTGCAGTATGTTGTGTGTGTCCTCTTTGTTCAAATATCTCGCCATGACCTGTTGCTAGTTTCAAGTCTTGTGGGTTCGGTTAACGAGTTTCAATAGAAGAACACATAGTATGTCTATTTATTCAGGGGTTTTTCACATTGACTATCACCAGGTGAGACAACTCCGGGTGAGACAGACGGATGTTCGTCCACCTCTTGACTTGCTTCAGTAATTGACACTGGTTCCCATGTAGAGAGAGCCTCAAACTGGTGGCGGGTGAAGTCCTGAGAGGTAAAAGTTGTTGCTTTGATGTTGACCACATCAAGTGCCAACTAGCAACCAAATATAAATCTAGCACCGGAAGCTCAATCCGCCAGTAGCCTATAACTTTACTTACAATTTAAATGTAAAGTCGGGAGATGTGAACCAGCGTCATTGCACACGGTTATAAACCATAAGTGCTCTGCCACAAATACTGACAGCTATGAAGAAACTGCCAGCCTGCGTCGCCGTCCGCACGTAACTCCGTAGCTGCAGCGACGTTCCTTCATTTACCACAGAGTGTCATCTTTAGTACTCAGTTCCTAGAGGCTGGTTGAAACCCGAGAATCGCCCGATTGTGAACACCGACCGTGGGCTGTAGCGAGTCGCAGCTGGATTTGATAGCGAGTCTTGTAATTTACTTATCTTTGTGCTAAATAAACGTCGTCCCATCCATGTGACAGAGAGCATGCAGTGCCCAACACCCTGTTCAACAACGAGGACCTTGGCTATGTCTATGATGACTTTAGCATTGGAAACTACACCCTGGATCAGCTGGAGGAGCTGCTCCATGACAGGCAGTTGCAGCCGAGAATCTGGGCTGGGTTTTTGCTGAAAGGCATCAAGACGTCTGGATCGGTGGATCTTAAAGTTTGCAAGGTAATTTGGTTTGTGTATAGGTTTGATTTGTTACTGTGTATGTCTGGTAGTCTGGTAGTCTTAGTTTCAGCTTCATAGCAAACGAGTCACCCCCTCTTTGCTCCGCTCCTGTGCCATCGAAAAAGACTTAGAATGTTTATCACAGTCCCTTGTCACAGGAAAAATTCCGCAGACAGTGTCATAGTGATGTCGAGGAAGAAATATTACAGTTTGCATGCCTTTTAGTTTCTTGAGATTTATTTACTGAAGAAATGTTTAACACATCTTTAGTTCTCTGAATTATTTCATTTTATTTTCTATTCCCTCAATTCAATTCACATGACCCCGTTGGTCACAGTCATCAGCTTTCAGCTTTATTCGCATGAATTTTAGCTCACATTCAGGTCTATGTCATTATTCAGTACTTACAGTACCCAACGTCAGTATTTTCTGATACAAATTCTGCAAAAATCTCTAATCTTTCAGTTTTGTGGCATTATCTTACTCCTTTTTCAGTTTTGTGACATTATCTTACTCCTCTTTCAGTTTTGTGACATTATCTTTCTCCTGTTTCAGTTTTGTGACATTAATTTACCTCTCTTTCAGTTTGTGACATTATCTTTCTCCTCTTTCAGTTTTGTGACATTATCTTTCTCCTCTTTAAGTTTTGTGACATTATCTTTCTCCTCTTTCAGTTTCGTGACACTATCTTTCTCCTGTTTCAGTTTTGTGACACTATCTTTCTCCTGTTTCAGTTTTGTGACATTTTCTTTCACCTCTTTCAGTTTTGCGACATTATCTTTCTCCTCTTTCAGTTTTGTGACATTAGTTTACCTCTCTTTCAGTTTGTGACATTTTCTTTCTTCTCTTCGGTTTTGTGATATTATCTTTCTCTTCTTTCAGTTTTGTGACATTATCTTTTTCAGTTTTTTAACATTACATTACTGCTCTGTCAGTTTTGTTACATTATACTTCTTATTTTTCAGTTTTGTTACATTATCTTACTCCTCTTTCAGTTTTTGTTTGACATTATCCTTCTCCTCTTCAGTTTTGTGACATTATCTTTCTCCTCTTTAAGTTTTGTGACATTATACTTCTCATCTTTCAGTTTTGTAACATTATCTTTCTCATCTTTCAGTTTTGTAACATTACCTTACTCCTTTTTAAATGTTGTGACACAGTCCCTTACTCCTCTTTCAGTTTTGTGACATTATTCTTCCCATCTTTCAGTTCAGCGAATGCACCGAGGCTGGTTACTTTAATCTTCTTGGAGGACCCTTAGAGATGCCCTGGTCCTTCGATCGTTTGTTCAAAAAAGACATCACCTGGGCTTTGCGCAATATTGGACTGACACCTGATGACGTCTTAGAAGCGGAGTCAGGGTTCAAACTGAAGGTGGAAACCTTTAATGTGGAAGGCAACGCTATACCTGTGAGCCAAGTAATGCCGAAACCAAGTATCATCTACCAACCAGGCCTACGTAAGTATTTACGTGTTACCGTGTTTTTTTAGGCCGAATGTTAGTAGCGGGGGAAAAAAAGACATATACATACATAAAATCATATCACGATTTGAGCAGTAAGACAAAATTCATGTTTCGTTTATAGTTTATATCCACATTGTAATAATATATATATATATATACTGAAACGATTTAGCTGAAATTTTCAGGATATGTTTGTTTTGATACCGGATGTTGAACCATCATGGTTTGAAATTCAACCTGTCACTATTAGAGATAGGTGACCACAATTTAATCCTTAATATCCGAAACTAATATTTATACCTTAAGTGATTTCTAATTATAGCCACGTTAGTAATTGCGCATGCGCCGTAGTTACCATTCGCCGGCGAGTTACGTGCAGCCAACGCCTTCTCTAATACATAGAGTAGGTCGTGGTACAGCAAACAAGACTATCTCTATATTTGCCACAATAACCATATTAAACACAATTTCTATTTTCTGTTTTTTTTTTCAAACAACCTTCGATGGGAGAGGGGGGGGGGGGAGGGGGGCATCAAGGACTATCTCGACGTCGGCGCAGACATTGACTGCGACATTAACTTCATTAACCGTGATAGACACGTGCGATTTCTATTGTTGTGCCGTTTCATTAATAAATCTGGAGTATCTGTCTACGAGAAAACAATTGGCTGCGGTTTTGAATTGTGTTTTAATCGCGACACAGTAGTAGAGACACACCTCTCTAATAGTTAAGTTCTCTTTTCGTTGATTCGATTAAGTGGCTGCTTGGTCGAATGATTAGAACACTGGGTTTCTGTGCGGGAGACCTGGGTTCGAATCCGCAGTAGTTAAATTTTTCTTTTACCCCGGACTAAAATAATATCCTCATCTGCTCTGTCGTGGTGACAGCACTAGCCATGTTGCCTTAATATATATAAAAAAAAAAAAAAAGTAAATGGGTAAACCATTTGATCATTAAATTTGACCATTTCGCAAACTTATGATTGCATTTTTAAACTTTCCGATTGCATGGTTACGCTGACATTTCATAGATTTTCATTTATTTTCATTTAGATTTAGTTATTTCATCTGCGTTGGAATTTTAAGCTGTGCTGTTTACCATGGCGTTCATTTCCTAATTATGGGTTTTATCTGTGTTCATTGCTTTCTTTCAGGGTTTTTTTTCCTTCCCAACTACTTCAATGAGGGGGAAAGAGTTGTCGGTGAATTTGGAGGGGGGGGGGGGGGGGCTACAAACTATTAACTGAGAGAGCTTAAGAAAGGAGTCACAGGTAACTGCTTTTACCCACTTAAAGTAGCAGCAGTAGTAAATAGATTTGTGGTTATGCTGTTACACCATAGTGCTCTCTCATGTGCAAGACCGTTTTCCGGTAATGTTATGGCGTTTCTTCTGTCGGCTAAGTGAATTATACATCCTATCCCTGACTCAATCCCTGTGGCTGACAAGCACTAGCCATGCGGAACCAAATCTTCTGGCTCACGACTCTCTGTTACTTCGATGGTAACACAGATAGCAGTGACATTATTTTTAGTGAGTTGTACTGGTACTTGAAGGATGATGTGTCAAAAAATTGATTACACTAGCCCCAGCCCCATTCACTACCTATTACAATTTCTGCTCCCTATTTTAGTCCAGATGGACAGGGATGTCAATGTCAGTTACAGCAACAAAAAATATCGCCAGGTAGTGATTTTTAAATCCTTCGAAGAGGGAGAGAGCAGTAGTCGGTGGAAGAGGGGAGGGGGTAATAACTCAAATTTAAGAGAACTTAAAGAGCTTTAAACGTGATTTTCAAGTTCTCATTACCTAATTTGTTTATATTTTACTAACGCTACCTCCGCTTTTCTATTTTTTACGACTTACTTTGTTATTCACAAGTAAAGTTGTAGCTTTACTTCCGTCCCCTATAAAAATACAAACAGCTTTAGCATGTGATAACCAAATAACCATTTTTGAACTGTGCTAATAACACCATTTAAACGACCACTAATATAAAGACACAATTATAAGGTGCGTGTTCTAAAGTTGGAAAACCAGACTATCTCTATATCTGTGCAGAGAATGATTGCGACATTAACTATATTAGACACGAGCGATTTCCATTGTCTTTCTTTTCCAAAAACCTTTGATGAGGGAGAGAGTAGTAGGTGGATTTAGTTGTGGTGGTGGGGAGGGGCGGGGATCAAAGACTATCTCTATATCTGAGCAGACAATGATTGTATTAGACACATGCGATTTCTATTTTCTTTCATTCCATTTAGCCAAAACTATTCCACAGCCACGCGTGGCCGGGTACAGCTAGTATATATATATATAAATATATAATATATATAGATATATATATATATATATATATATATATATATATATATATATATATATATATATAAAGGATAATTTCCTTCATGAATTATATGATGTATGCATAGGTTCCAGACTAGCAATTGTCTTGACTGACTGACTAACTTTCTACCCCATTAGGACATCACACAAGAGATAAACACCCGATGACACAAAGTGCCACCATGTGGATGAGGATCACCGTGGAGAGGTCCCAGAAACTGCGTTCAGACAATTGGAAATATTGATGACCTGCCTATATTGCGGCCCCTGTCGAAAGCCAGAGTGGGGTTTCAAATAACAAAAAATTACGTCCTGAAAAGGACGTAAGGAATTTAGATGATAGTTTTTACAATTGTCTTAAGATAAGATTTACATTTACTTTTTATCAGAAAAGTAGTTTCAATTTTCGAAAAACATTTATTTATAGATCCGAGGTTCGACTCCAATGTTGGCTTTACCTTATTCCATACGAAGTTCAAAAAGAAAAGAAAAACATCAAAGAGTATCCAGTCAACATTTGATGACCTGTTCGATAGTGAATCAGTTAGCAATGTTGTTGTTTGTACTCTTGCAGAAGCGGCCCAACCTGTCCGTGAGTCGGTTGTTGCTGGGGTTGGAGTCCGAAAAGATGTCACCCGTCTCTCTGTGTCTGAGGTGAAGAATCTCAGGGAAGCACTTCGACGAGTTCAAGCTGACAACAGCTCTCAAGGATTCCAGGTATGTCATTTGTTCTGGGAATTTCTTTCTCCAGCCTCTTCCATTGTTTTCTTCGCTATTTATATCAGTATTCGAGTACTTTGCTTTTAAAATAAATTGTTACCGTTAAATTTTTAGTGAGGTTTGCCTGTCCACTAACAGCCTATAACTAATTTTGTAATGGGAAGAAATGTAATTTACAATGTACAGTAAAGACGATCTGCGGACTAACTAAAACCAGCTAACTTGGTATTACATTATAAGGTCAAACTCCTAGGTTTTTAATTTTCAAAAAAAAAAAAAAAAGAATAAGGGGAACACACACACACACACACACACACAAACACAAACACACACACACACACACACACACACACACACACACACACACACAAATAACAGGAGCCAAAAGCCAACCCTTTGAAATGAATGAATAGTCACAATAGAACGAACGAACAAACGAACTTTTTTTTCAAAGGGTTACAAATTGGGCACGCAGGCCCGTCTGATATTCGGCCCTTTTAAGCACTAATTTTTCAGACTACCAATGCCTGTTATCAATAATGCCTGTTATGGTTATAATAAAGAAATAAAAACTATAGAATAAGGCATACACGCATCATTTGTTCACAAGCGTATACACTCACACACACGCCGCTCAGGTGCAGCATGCTTGGTGAGTGAGGAGTCTCGTCGATCACCTAGTTAGTTCCTGCATGCTGTTGATCTTACTACGGATACGACAGGAGCATCTATAGATAGAATCTGAGCTACCATGTAAAGGTCGGAGCACTGTTGGGAGTTGTCAGAGCCAAAAATGAAATGATGAGTGCGCCCCTTAACGGGATTGTAGCATCAGGAAGCAGGATCCTAAAACACACTAATGGAACCCAGGCACTTACTGATGGACTCGGAGCAACTATGGACTCGTTGGAAATGTGAAAACGATAATCCTAACTGAACTAGTCTCATGTAAACAATTGCTCTTTCTAAATATCATAATGATTGTTATCATGAATAATATTTGTTTTCCAGAACATCGCTAGCTTCCACGGCAGCCCACCCGGCTGTGAACACGACCATCGTCCCGTTGCCTGCTGTATCCACGGACAGGCTAACTTCGCTCAGTGGCACAGACTGTACGTCAAACAGTGGGAAGATTCTCTAACTGCACATGTAAGAGCTTTATTGTAACCTCACTGCTGTGGCTTGGACTTTTGTGTTGTTCCTCTGATATCCTGTAGTGGTGTCATTGTTAGAGCTGTATTAGAACTGTGAGAGATACCATGCAAAAAAAAAAAAAAAAAATTAAACCATTCAGTCTTACAGTATCATAAATACAGAGAAGCAACCAGAGAGGCTTCTTCGGCACATTCCATAAATCCATCAACAAAAACAAGAACAAAAAGGACACAAATACACAGACATTTAACTGGCGTACCTCCTACAGAAATCACATTTGTCTGGCCAGTAGAATGCCTGACACATGTGTGACCACTAGAAATACATAAGTACCACTGTAGTATTAAAATCTACAACACAGATGAGATAGACAGGCATACACATATAGGAGCAGTTCATGAGTGAGGTGAAATGTGTGAGGTAAACACAAAGGATAAGTGGAAGTTGTGATTTCAGAGCTTTCATCGGCGCATTACATAAATCCACAATACCACAAACACAAACAAGAACAGACTAAATCGCCTTGTTGACGTATCTCTGACAGAAATCACAATTTTGTGTTGGCTAAATTAGAACCGGACTGTCAACGTGGAAGGTTACAGTTCTGTCTGTTCTTTTGTTTACCTTTTGGTCCAGGTAGCAGGCAGGCTAGATATGGTTATGGTAAATTGTCAAACTTTGTTCCCTGTGTGGGTTCTGGGGTCCCATTTTGGGAAAGAAAAAACAAAGAGAACAGACTCAGTGCCACCTGACACAGGTGTCGAAGGAGGAGACGAATTAAGGGTGCTTCCTTTGAAGTGGAAATGTATATGACTGAAAGGCCGGTAACACCGTGACGATAAAAGAAGAAGACAACTACATAAATCTAGGACATTGTACTGAACCCGGTAACAGCGTGACGATAAAAAAAGAAGACAACTACAGAAATCTAGGACATTGTACTGAACCCGGTAACACTGTGACGATAAAAGAAGAAGACAACTACAGAAATCTAGGACATTGTACTGAACCCGGTAACAGCGTGACGATAAAAGAAGAAGACAACTACAGAAATCTATGACATTGTACTGAACCCGGTAACACCGTGACGATAAAAGAAGAAGACAACTACAGAAATCTAGGACATTGTACTGAACCCGGTAACAGCGTGACGATAAAAGAAGAAGACAACTACAGAAATCTAGGACATTGTACTGAACCCGGTAACACCGTGACGATAAAAGAAGAAGATCACTTCAAAAACCTAGGACATTGTACTAAACCCGGTAACAGCGTGACGATAACAGAAGACAATTACAGAAACCCGCGAAACTCGACTGAACCGATACTGTGTGACGACAAATTAATAAGGCAGGTACAGAAACCTAGGATACTGGTTTGAACCCGGTAACAGCGTGAGGACAAAAGAAGAAGGCAACTACGGAAATCTAGGACATTGTACTGAACCCGGTAACGGCTTGACGACAGAAGAAGAAGACAACTACAGAAATCTAGGACATTGTACTGAACTCTGTAACGGCGTGACCACAGAAGAATAGGACAGGTACAGAAACCTAGGACATTGTACTGAACCCGGTAACGGCGTGACGACAAAAGAAGAAGACAGGTACAGAAACCTAGGACATTGGTATGAACCCGGTAACAGCGTGACGACAGAAAAAGAAGACAGGTACAGAAACTCAATAATCTGTGTTAAACCCGGTGGCAGCATGAAGATAACAGAAGCAGAAAATATCATTCATGATTATGTTATATTTGAAAGCTGAAAAGTTCGACTTTCTGTTCCGTGGTCAATAACATGCCTAGAACGTCAAATAAAATAGAAAAGCTTTAGCCCCGCTCCTACAAGCCGGGATGGGATCTACAATTATATGCGGGTTATGTTTTCAAAGACAAAGCCAAAATTCTTAGAGCCGGAGGTTAATGACCTGACCACTTCGTAGATACAAATTTTTTAGTATATCAATATTTAATGCCTTTTTAAACAGGACCAAGATTTGACACCAAAATAATCTTCTATTCGCACAGGGAGCTAAGATCGGTATCCCATACTGGGACTGGACTACAGCCTTTACGGAGTTGCCAGCTCTAGTGACTGAAGAAGAGGACAACCCATTCCACCATGGTCTCATCTACAATGGAGAAATCACGACAAGGGCCCCAAGAGACAAACTCTTCAACGACCCGGAGTTTGGCAAGGAGTCCTTCTTTTACAGACAGGTCCTGCTGGCATTTGAACAGACAGACTATTGTGACTTTGAGGTAGGATTTTGCACAATTAGAAATGCCACGCGCTTTGTCTTTGCCAGTCATGTTGTTTGTTTTATCGTCACTATGTGATGAATGAATTTTTTTTTTTCTTTCCTCTTTAAACATAAAGTATGCTCGTGATGTAGCTCAGAAAATCACCAGGTAGACAGCAGTAAAGCCAAAGTATGGACGAACAACCAGGACACTTGTATGTATTGGAGTTTACAGCCGGTAAACGTGGCGAATTAGTCAAGCCGTTTGCCTCTCGCTCTGAAGGTCTTGGGAGCATTTCACGACTGCGTCATTAAGTTCACTAATGCCATTTTTACGGAGACCCCCTTGGATCGTCGCCGGAGCTAAGGAGGAAGTGCTCTATGCGACGCTGCCGACAGGAGCTAGTTGTTCTGTGGAGAAAGACCGAGTGATATCGGATAAAACCCGGTGCTATGAAGTCTATACTCTCCATTTTAACATTGACTTAGATAGCAGTACAAATGGAAAGAACAAGAACACTAAGATACGTCATTATGGGCGAGTGTTCTACAATGAGGTACTCGACAAAGAGCTTTGGAGATCTGCTACTGCCAACTTTAAATGTGAAGACACATGATAGTTTATGTATCTGAACACCTGAAGGGGACAGAGTGCTGTGTGCTTGACTGTCAACAGAGTTAGGTCCCTAAAACTGGACATATTTTACTCTCTTCGGTTGGGTAGTCCATTCATCCTTATTCTAGCATGAGTTCAGAGTAGCTGGATCAAGAACCGACATCACAGCACTCGGGAGATTTTAATATGCGCTCTGTATTTATCTTGTGCATCCAGATAAGAGTTCTTCTTCTTCTTCTTGTTCTTCTTGTTCTTCTTGTTCTTCTTGTTCTTCTTCTTCTTCTTCTTCTTCTTCTTGTTCTTCTTGTTTTTCTTGTTCTTCTTGTTCTTCTTGTTCTTCTTCTTCTTCTTCTTCTTCTTCTTCTTCTTCTTCTTCTTCTTCTTCTTCTTCTTCTTCTTCTTCTTCTTCTTCTTCTTCTTCTTCTTCTTTGCGTTCACCAGCTGTAAACCTCTGGCTGAAAGTTCTAGTTGTTCATCCACTTCTGGACTGCAGTACCGTTCCAGAACCTGAGTGTTGCGTGTGCATTCGTTTTACAGATCTGACTCATTTGTATGCAAACTGCTGGTTCCTTGCCTTTCAGGCAGATGCACTCCGACTTCGAATGAAGCTTCTAATTAGTCAACTCTTACGACATGCTTTTGGGTTAGCAGTAGATCTATTCTTGTTTCTACTGTAATAGGGCCTCGGAACCAATACGGGGAAGCAAAGAGTTCAAATCTCGATGGTACCAGTAACAATCTGAATATATGTCTATCTTTCCTTTTCTCTGACTTTAAAGTGTCTGCCAAATCCCGGGATCACTCTTGTCTACACTATTCTCCTGACACCCCATAATTATCTGTCTGCGCTCTCACGTTATTCAGTAGCTCCGTAAAGGACTTTGACGACTCTAGCCTAATACTCCTGTTAGTCCTTGAGAAATGATTCACTTCATTAAATGCATAACAAATTATTTTCTAAGAAGAGAGAGCCGCTAGAAAGAAAGGCAATGTCAAATGGCAAGTAGTAAATGTCAACTTGTGTCACTTGTCATGTCATCAGGCTGTATTCACTGGACAACTACTGTTTTAATCTTACAATAGCAACTTCTTTCTTTTCTCCGTGTTTTATTCAACATAAACTCTTTTTTTTTTTTTATTTATGTGTCTTGCTGTTTATTAAACACTTATAACACATTTCCTGGGCTCTGCAGGTACAATATGAGATTTCCCACAACGCTATCCACTCCTGGACTGGTGGTCAGTCTCCCTATGGCATGTCCACTCTTGAGTACACCGCCTACGACCCACTCTTCCTGCTCCACCACTCCAACGTGGACCGTCAGTTCGCCATCTGGCAAGCCCTGCAGAAGTTTAGAGGTTCTGCCATACAACAGTGCCAACTGTGCCATCCAGCTCCTGCATCAGCCGATGAGGCCCTTTAGCGATGAGGATAACATTAACCCGGTGACCCGTTCCTTCTCTCGCGCCAGTGATGTCTTCAACTACGACAGGTACCATATGTCTGTGTCTTTCGTTTGACATTTCTGACTTCTGCCTTTGCACAGCTCTCTCTCTCTCTCTCTCTCTCTCTCTCTCTCTCTCTCTCTCTCTCTCTCTTTCTCGCTCGCTCGCTCTCGCTCTTACTCTCTATCTCTCGGTCTCTATCTCTTTCTCGGTCTCTCTCTATTTATTGGTCTCTCTCTCTCTCTTTCTCCATATCTCTGACATTCACTCACTAATTATTTCTTTACTAATTATTTCTTTCTCTTTATCTGTTTCAGTAAGTCAGTGAGTCCTTCACTCACTCAATCACTCACTGACTCATTCACTCACTCATTAACTCTCTCACTCACTCACTTACTACCACACTCACTAACTCAATACCACACTCACTAACTCACTCACTTACTTACTTTTTTGTTGCTCTGTATCTCTGTCTTTTACTTACCCTATAACTAACTCATTCACTCACTCACTTACTCACTCTTTCACTTTATCTTTCTCTCTATCTCTCTCTTTCACTGAACCACTAACTAACTCACTCACTCACTCGCTTATTCACTCACTCATTCACTCTTTCTTTCTTTCTTTCACTTATTCATTCACTCACTCACTTCCTCTCTTACTCACAGAATCTTTCGGTATCTCTCTGTCTGACTGTTTCGCTCACTCACTCATTCACTCACTCACTTCCTCACTTACTCACTCGCTTTCTCTCTATTCCTTTGTCTACCCCTCTTTATTACCTTTTTGTTAACAACTGTAGACTGCAAAAGTACAAAGCTTGTACTTAGCAACTCAAGCGATGCTTCTCATTAAGTTTCTTTTGTGTTTGTGGCAAAGGTGATTTCGGGAAGAGAAATGAAACATGTTTCCTACAATGAGACTCTCGCACAGCTGCAAAAAAGACCAGGAAACAAACTTTCTAAATCACATGCAGCGACTATCGACGAGTTCTGGGTGTACGAACAGAAAAGAACCGAAAGCCAGTGGAACAATTCAAGGGCACTAGAACATAGATCCTTGGCCATGTTAGGGAAATCCGGAAGCCCATACCCATAGAATCTCTGTGACTTAGCTAAGCTCCAACTTCAAGTGTTTAGGCAATTTATTTTTCTGAGTATGTAAATATTTATTGTTCCTGATTTCATATATACTTTTGTAATTTTTCTGTACTGTGTTGTTATTAGTACACACTTAAACATGACTTAGCCCCTTCCTCTTAGAGCGCCTTTTCTCCAATAAAATATGTGTTGGGGCCGAACTTTTACTGGAGCGTAGTTTCTCAAAAATCAACTGTGAGACCTTTGGTCCTTAATTATGATAGGTTAGATTTGGAAGTGTTATTAAGACACCCCCACCCTTCCCCCCCCCCCCACACCCCCTAAGTCGTCCCTTACAGCATGCATTTACGTAGCTATGGCTTTAACCATAAATAATTACAAAGGAAATAATGTATAATGTAATCTGATATCTCAACTTTCAGACTCAACTACCAATACGATGACCTCAACTTCCATGGACACACTATCTCAGAGCTCAACGACATCCTGGAGCGACGCAGGGAGAAGGATCGCATCTTTGCTGAGTTCCTCCTCCATGGTGTAGGTGCTAGCGCTGACATCACCTTCTACCTGGTTGACTCTCAAAACCACTCCGAATTTGCTGGTCAGTAAATTAGGAGTCACATAAGAGTGTTTAGAGACAAACCTTTTGTGGATGGAGCCATTGTTTTGTTTAACTTTGACATACGATGTCAGATAAAAGTCCTATAGTGGACTGTACGTTGGTCATTTCACCCATAGGACTGCAGGTGACATCTGGCTGGGGTGGCCGTTACGGCTGGCCTAATTATATTTCTTGGAGGCTGAACAAGGTATCTGGGACCTGTTTTCTGTTTTGCCATCTAAACAAAGTTGTTTTTTTTTAATCTCCTGATTGTTTTGTAGACCTGAAGGTAGCAGTTCAGTGTGGAGAAACTGATCGATCGATCGATTGCACGTAACATTTTTTTAATCGTACAACTGACTTTATATAACATTGTTATACATATCATATTACTTTCGATATGTGAGACAATATGTCGTTTTTTATGAAGACACAACGGAGGCTGGGGTAAAAGAAAAGCTTGGATGGGAATAGAGAGCTGATGGAATTAAAATGAGACAATTAATAATACGTCACGTATGTCTGTAAAAGTCATAATGAATGCCTACAAAATAGTGAGACATGTCAATACAAGATATTGGGGAAAAGGGGGGGGGGGGTGTATTTAAGACATTTCTTACAAACAAAATGTGTATTTAGACAATAGAACAAATATATATTTACCTAGGGATAAGGCATAATATGTCTCGAATAGAATATGTATATCTTTACATAACCGATAATAAATTGACACATTTTTAGCAAAAAGCGCATCAGCAAACGTTTCTCTACTAATGAACGGAGGGAACGTAGATGTCCATAATGATAAGTCGAACGTTGATGTGAAATTTCAATTGTGGTGGAGTGGATTCCATCCGTGACATTGGAAGAACTGAGCAAGATAGAGAGGAATTAAAGTATGCGCCGCCAACTCTATGCGACGCATAATCGATCGTTGATGTGATGTTGTGTTGATGTTTGACTAGATGTCCGTGTACATGTAGGACTAGATGTCCGTGTACATGTAGGACTAGATGTCCGTGTACATTTTAGACTAGATGTCCGTGTACATTTAAGATTAGACACCCATGTAGTTCCTAATACATCATCATCATGTAGCAGGTCCTTTGCAGAACGTCGCTTGCATTACGGTCTGGCTGAAAGAAACTGTCTCTCGCCATCTATCCCATCCCGTGTACTTTCACCTTCAAGGAGTCCCTCACATTCTGTGCCCATCTTTGTGTTGGTCATCCCCCTGACCCCCTGACCAAATCCTGCCTTCTGCTATTATTTCATTTCCAATCCATCATGTCGCTTGATATAACTAAAATATTTCAGCTTCCTAGACAATATGCTGTTTATTACCCAATCTTCCTTGGTGTTCCTATATTTTAAAATGTCAGTATGTCTTCTCTTCTATGTCTTTGGTATTCTGATAATATTTCAATATTCCTAACATAAGGTGTACATATAGATGATAATGACTTGCAGGTACATTTGCTGTGTTGGGCGGTCCCTTGGAACACCCGTGGGCATTCGATCGTCTGTTCAAGTACGATGTCACTGATGTATTCAACAAACTGCACCTGAGACCCGACTCTGAGTACCACTTCGACATCGAGATTGTAGCAGTTAACGGCACTACATTGGACAGCCATTTGATCAGGTCACCCACTGTCCAGTTCGTTCCTGGAATTAGGGGTCAGTGTTTGTGTGTATGTATGTGTGTTCGTACATTGTTGGTATTGTTGTTCTTTTTTGTATGCTATCGATTTGCACACAAGAATACATAAGGGTTCATCCAATCAGCTGTCCAACTCAAACATATCAAGGCAAAACTTTTAGCCAAAAGAAACATCGGTGCAAGCTAACTTTACGGGTCGTTGAGTGAATAAAATAAAAAAAAAAAAAGCAGTAAAGGTCATACCAGAGACAACATGGCAAATATAGATAAACTATTTCAAACGAATAGAAGAAGAAGAAGAAGAAGAAGAGAAGAAGAAGAAGAAGAAGAAGAAGAAGAAGAAGAAGAAGAAGAAGAAGAAGAAGAAGAAGAAGAAGAAGAAGTTTGCAGTGCTTCTGCATCTGGGTCAAGGATGGTTTCCAGGTGCATGTGCTTTCCCGTCAACTAATAAAAATACCACACTGATCTTGTCTGTAACAATATGTACGGAACGTTTATCCCCATAGCCTAACTGTATGTCAGATACTCATTTTTTTACGGCGGTGGCGCTGCTGGGATATATTGCTAGACTTATATTTTTATTGACCAATCGGCACTAGTGGTTGATTTGATCAACATCATGCCGACCAAATTTATCTCCCAGACAACACCTGACAGTTTTTTTTTTTTTTTTTTTTGCTAATTGTACCTGGCAGTAAAGGTCAATTTTGAAAATAATCAATCTCTATGCGGAGTCGAACGCCAGACTTCGGGACGACAGGATAGCGTCAAGCCACTATGCTCCCACCACTTCATTCCGTGGCGAAATGGTCAAAATATTTTTCCAGCACCCTAAAGAGTTTAGTTCAATGATCTTCCTGTACCCCTCTGTTCATACGTGCTATTTCACAGAGATCATTGAGAAACCAAGATTTTATCTCTTCAACGGATCGCAAATGAATCATGTATGACTGTGAATATGTTATCTATGTTCGTGAAATTAAAGGTTATATTAGTTCTCTATTATCAACATTCTCTCCCTAACTATAGACATTTCATTGTAATAGCTGGTCATTGTTTGTTGTTTTCCTTTACATTATCTTTTGTTACAGTTTTTCTTGTTTAGTTTATTGTAGACTATGGTTTTTTTTTTTTAAATTTCTATTGTCTCTTCTCTTGCGATTAACTGCTCCAAGGTCCACGTATTTGCTTCTTCTTCCAACATTAAACTTTATATCACTTTATATCCTTATATTATTTCTCAAGTTTGAGTAGCATACTAGTCTACATATTTGCCCTTTACCTCAAGCGATCCATTTGTCGTCAACATTTCTTTTATGATTTAATGATCTTTCAGAATGTTTGCTTAATTTACCCCTCTTGTTTAAAGATTAACTCCTCTGCCCGTTTATGAAATTCTTGTTGTGAATGTCATTTTCATTAAGTCTACATCACTATGTCAGTAAAAGGCCCATTTTCCACACCTTCAAGTGCATTGAGCATATACTGATTTTGCTATATTTTATAGTCAATCAGCACTGGGTGAGTGATTTGGTCAGCACCAGACCGACCGCCTTTACTTCACAGGACTGTACATGGCACCCACTCAAAGCTGGGTCGACCTGAGAGCCAAAGTCATTGAAAAAAAAAAAAAAAGTCCTGCTTCACCAGGACCCAGACCGGTGACTTTCTGATCCGCATACCAGTCTCTGGCTACTACACCACGGCGGCTTTTATTTCACATGTACTACTGATATTTTTCGCGGCGTCCGTGGCTAAGGCGTTGCGAGTCCGACTCGTGAGCCAGCATACCGCGATCGAAACCCACTGCAGGCTGCGTGGATTTTTGTCGTGGTATGGGACGTCGCAGGTCGACCCAGCCTAAAATGGGTACCAGGATGGGCTGTCCTGGGAAAGTAAAGACAGCCGGCGTAATGCTGACCACATAACCCACAGAGTGCTGATGGTCTGTAAAATATGGGACGCTCTGCCCATATGCCCGATGCGCCAAAGGCGTGAAAAGGGATCTTTACTTTTTTTTTTTTTACTGATATTTTCAGAATACTACGAGAAGGTCGCGGAGAGAGTCCAGCCTCGCGACGACATACTGATCAGAAAGAACATCAATGAGCTCACCCTGGAGGAGTCGGCCAACTTGAGGAGCGCGCTCAACAAGCTGCAGCAGGACCAGGGTCCTAATGGGTTTGAGGCTATCGCTGGTTTCCATGGAGCTCCATTTAGATGTCCTGAAGTTGGCACAGAAGACAAATACGCTTGCTGTGTCCACGGTAAGAATGTTGCTAGCTTAGTAGTCTTCATGTCTTTTATGTTCCTGTGGTGTTACGGTCTTCACGTCTTCTCTGTTCTTATAAGAAAAGATATAAACCCGAACAAAATGTATATTAGCAAGCTTCACAATTTAACAAATACAAACAAAACGTAAACGTTGCGGCTATTGAGCCTTCATCAGCACATACAAATTAAACACTACTACAAAGATACACAAAATCACTTAGCTGGTATCTCGATGCGGTCAAGTGGGTTGTTACTCAGCAGAATGACCACACGTGTCAGCTGGGGGAATAAATACCCCCCTGTGGAGTATCAGTGGCCATACCTGGGGTGTAGGGATTGAAACTGTGAGGGCAGTTCAATCCCCTGGAAGTTTAAATGAAACTGTGTTGGCAATTCATTACGGAGGGCGTCAAAGTCCCCAGAGTATAAATAAAGCTGGATTTAATGGCTGTCACCTCCATGTCGTGGACACCTTGGTGATCCTAGGAATGGAAGTACAACGATACTGGTTTCAAGGCACCATTTTGCACATCCAAAAGATGTTGTCTGAACCTGTCAGCCGGCCGTAGACCTGTTTCACCAATGTATTTCTTGCCACATCTCTTGCAGTTGATGGAATAAATGACATTGCAGCTGGTACAATAGAATGCTTCACCTATGTGGAAGGTGGCGTTAGTGAATTCTAAACTAGCCACCTGGACCACATACGGACAGGTTCTGCATACAGGTCTATGGCAAGAGAAAGTGCCGAAGTGGGGCTCAGATGCGGGGCGTAACCTACTCTTGACTCGAATGTCCTTGAGGTTACGATCATGCCTGTAGGCCACTAGAGGAGGTTCAGAGAAAATCGTGCTGGTGGCAGGGTCGGCTGGTGTTTCCATGGTGTTGCTGTCTTCATGTCTTCTCTGTTACTGTGGTGTTGCTGTCTTTACGTCTTCTCTGTTCCTATGGTGTTACGGTCTTCACGTCTTCTCTGTTCCTGTGGTGTTACGGTCTTCATGTCCTCTCTGTTCCCGTGGTGTTGCTTGTTTAGTAGACGTCACTTGTTCTCTGTTCATATGGTATCCAGTTGAACTATTCATAATTACTGGATATCTCTGAAAAGCACATCTTCTTCTGCCTTTTTATCCCCCAATGGAGCATAGGCCCTCAACCAACTCACGCCAAGTCGTTCTATCCTTCGCCATTAAATGGAGCTCTCCCCATGTCCTCCCAATCTTTCTAACCTCATTCTCCAGCTCTCTTCTCCATGTGTTTTTTTTGGCCTTCCTTTATTCCTATGCCCCTGTGGGTTCCAATGCAAAGACATTCTAGTTATGCTGTTCTCCTGTTTTCTCAGTGTATGCCCTATCCAACGCCAGCGTCTTTTCCTCACCTCCTGATCCACTGGAGCCTGTTTAGTTCTCTCCCAAAGTTCTACATTAGTTATTCTATCATACCATTTTATTCCCTCTATTCTGCGCAGGCACCAGTTAATGAATGTCTGTAATTTATTAGTAATTGCCTTGGTTGTTCTCCATGTTTCCGCCCCATACAATAGTACTGATTTGACATTAGAATAAAAAATTTTTAGTTTAGTATTTCTTTTAATTTCTTTTGACCTCCACAAATTCCCTAGTGCTATGAAAGCCCCTCTTGCCTTTTGTATTCTTATTTTAATATCTCTATCAGTTCCTCCATCTTTATCTACATTACGCCCAAATAGGTGTACGACTCCACGTCTTGGAGTGGGGTGCCATTAAGAGAAACCACATTACTATTTGCCTGATTTATTCTCATTATCTTTGTCTTTCCTTTATGGATTTTCAGACCAAGCTGCTGTGATCTCGCATTGAGTATATTTAATTTATCTTGTATCTGATTCCGTGAATGGGACAGAAGGGCAATATCATCATCGAAGTCCAGATCATCAAGCTGTTTTGTAGGGGTCCACTGAATTCCATTCTTGGTGTTAGCAGTTACTGTGTTTTCATAGTCCATTCTATAGCCAGTAAAAATAGGAGAGGCGACAAAAAGACATCCCTGTCGCACACCTGTTTTTATTTCAAATGCATCTGTTAGCTTTCCCTCATGAAGAACTCGACATTTCATGTTTTTATATGTTGCCTTTACTAAGTTGATAATTTTCTGTGGGATTCCATAGTAGTGCCCCATCAATTTCCAGAGAGATTCCCTATCAATGCTGTCAAATGCTTTTTCATAGTCTATAAATCCAATGTAAAGTGGTGAGTTCAGTTCAATGCTTTGCTCTATTTATAATACGTAATGTGGCTATTTGATCAGTACAGGATCTGTTTGACCGAAAACCTGCCTGCTCATCTCTTAGCATTTTATCAATAGCATCTTTTAATCTTTCCAAAATAATTCTACTTAATATTTTTCCAGGAACTGACAGCAACATAATTTCTCTATAGTTTTCACACTCCTGTAGATCACCTTTTTTGGGCAGTTTCAACAAGATATCCTTCTCTCCAGTCTGCTGGTATTTCTTCGGTCTCCCAGACTTTAACTGAATAATCTATTTAGCAATTCTGTTGATGTGTTTATGTTGGTCCTGATGGCTTCAGCTGGGATACCATCTGGGCCTGACGCCTTTCCTTCCTTAAGAAGATTTATAGCTTTTCTAATTTCCTCTTTGGATGGTATCTCACAGTTGATATCCAGTTCCATTTCTAAAGGCTGGATATCTGGGGGAACCTCTGGGCCTGTCTATTTAGAAGCATTTCAAAATATTCAACCCATCTGTCCATTTGATCTTTAGTGTTAGTAAGTACCTTTCCTTGACTATTTTTGATTGATCCAGTTGGCTGACTATATTTACCTACTAATTTTCTTGTGTTTACTGTAAAGTTCTCTGAGGTTTCCTTTTGCTGCTGCTGTCTCCGCTTCTTGTGCTAGATCATTTAGATATTTCACTTTATCTGCCCTTATATGCCTCCTAACTTCCTTGTTGGCTTCTGTGTAATTCTCCTGAGCTCTAGCTTTAGCAGCTCTAGTTTTCAGTTTAATGGTTTCTGGTGTTTATCCATGCTTTATGTTTCCTTTCTTTCTTGCCAAGAACTTCTACGCAAGATTCATTCCAGATTCCTTTGATCTGATCCCAGCAGACTTCTGTGTTGACATCTTCAGCTAACTGCTGCAAAAAAGCACATGATCAATGGTAAATGTCTCTCATTGCAGTTAAGGCTATTACCTTTTATAGGGGTAGTCTCGTATTCTTCTTCTTTGCGTCTCACTTTCTTCTCCCCTCCCCCTCCCCTGTAAATTTTCCATGGAAAATTCATGGCTTTATCTTTAATTCTGGACTTTAGTGTTGCTTTAGAAGTTGATTTTTGCGTGCACATCCGTTTTACAGTTCTAGCTTTCTTGTGCAGATTTTTGGTTTTTCCTTTCCCCTACACATACTTAGAATCCTAGTTTATAATGCGTCTTAGGTCACTTTTTCCTCCAGCGGGGCACTTTCGTCATTTGACGGTGACACGTTCGATTCCCTGCATGGTAAATAATATCTGTTGATTTTCTCCTTGTCTTGTCGTCTCTCTTTATATTTCTTTCTATGAGTGCCAATCAATACATAAATATTTGTTTTATTTTATATACTACTAGCAAATACTGCAGTTTATTTCGACCTTTTAGCTGTCACAAATTCCAGGCAACAGCATGTTAAAGTTGTTTGTATCTTTCTCATCGTCTTTCCTGTTTTTATGAGTGTGACTCCTACCTGTCAATTCTCTATCGTCCTTTTCAGGATGAAATTTTTTTTTTTGAAGCTCCACCCTGGCTTTTGCCGGGGGCCGCAATATAGGCAGGCCATAAATATGGCCAAATGTCTGAACGCGGTTTCTGGGACCTCTCCACGGCGATCCTCATCCGCAAGGTGGCACTTTGTGTCATCGGGTGTTAATCGCTTGTGTGATGTCCTGGTGGAGTATAAAGTCAGTCAGTCAGAGGGTGACCCAAGGTGGACTAGACTAGGATTAGTCAAGCGAAACAGGACCACTTTCACATCTTTGGCTTATCGGGTTTAAAGGTTATTACTGTGATTTTACTGACTAATCGGATCCTCGATGTATGATTTAGAGTGGGTAAATCTGGGAATTAGTCAATTGAAAAAAAAAAAAGTTTTTTTTTTTTTTAAATAAACACGCTGCCATGTTGCAAAATTTAAACCTTACATCTTAGGAGTCAGCAGACCACAATGTCCAGGGCAATGTTGGTCGGACGAAAACAATGTTCCAGCAAGTGTTTGAGTCAAGAGTCCCCCATCAAACCCTCATATGGACACCAGATGGGAAAAGACAGCGGGAAATACCAAGAGAGACTCTGCGTAGAACAATTATGATAGAAGCCTCAACTATGGGCGTAATGAATGTCCAAGAACTGACTGACTGAATTTCTACCCCACCAGGACATCACACAAGCGATAAACACCCGATGACACAAAGTGCCACCATGCGGATGAGGATCACCGTGGAGAGGTCCCAGAAACCGCGTTCAGACATTTGGCCATAATGATGACCTGCCTATATTGCGGCCCCTGGCAAAAGCCAGAGTGGGGCTTCAAATAACAAAAAATTACGTCCTAAGAAGGACATAAACAATATAATGTCCGAGAACTAAATCAGGTGGCAAATAACCGCCAGACATGGAGACCTCTGCCCTATGCGCCGCCTTAGGCTCAAGAGAAAAGGTTAACTAAGTGTTTAACCCAGATCGCTTTCTTTGAAGCCATAGCTCCCAACTGGTAAGACAGTTCTTCATTGATTGATTTATATAATGAAAAATAAGCTGATTGATATCCACAGGCATGCCGGTATTCCCACATTTTCACCGATTGTTGACCGTGCAGTTTGAGCAAGCGCTTCATGACCAAGGGGCCTTAATTGGTGTCCCCTATTGGGATTGGACCGCTCCTATTAAGAAAGTGCCATCACTGTTTGGAGAGAGTGCTGACTTTAACCCATTCTATAGCTACACCATCTCCTTCAACAACCAGGTACGGTAATGATGAGTGATATCAAACAATATGATTGCAGTTATTATTATCATTATTATTGTTACTATTATTATTATTTCAAATACTGCTATTTTCAGACACCACCATTACCAAAATAACAATACCACTAGTGTTGCCACATTTCTTTGACAAAAGACATCCACAACGGAGTCGAAAAATATCTAAAAACATCTACATTTGTGTGGAAATCATCTAGAAAAAACATCCAAATTTTATATGACTTGCCCTAAAGAATCTTGTCCTCATCTTTACTGAAGTCTGCCTCACAAGATCCACAGGATAAACTTAGCTTGGATGATGAAGTTGAAGCTTCAGATCCAAAATGACTCGGGTATGATTTAGCTGTTCCAATTTCTTTTAATACACAATCAGGGAGCTGATAAGTGAAACAGCCTTTTCCTGCTCCTATCAGGCCGAATTTGATGGTCAAGACAGCATTTAAAGGGTCAAATTTCATCCTTTTTCTTAGGTTAGATTTGATAAATTCACTCTAAATAAAAAAATCTAGAAAAAAATCTACCATCTAAACGTCAAAAACACCATCTAAATGCAAGGAAAAACATCTAAGTCTGGATGTTAAATGTCCAAAGTTGTAACACTAAATACCACAACAAGCAGTCATTCCCCAACACCACTAATACCACCACTGTCATCAGTACCACTGCTCCAGCTGCGGCTTTTACTCTACAACTTTGCTACCAGTGACACCGCCTCCACCACCATCACTACAATTACTGTGCTGTGGTGCTGACACTTCTGCAACTACTACTGATGATGATGATAATGGTATTTCTCCTACTGCTACTACTACTATTACTACTACTATTACTACTACTACTACTACTACTACTACTACTACTACTACTACTACTACAACTACTACAACTACTACTACTACTACAACTACTACTAATACTACAACTACTACTACTACTACAACTACTACTACTACTACTACTACTACTACTACTACTACTACTACTACTACTACTACTACTACTACTACTAATACTACTACTACAACTACTACTACTACTACTACTACAGCTACTACTACTACTACTACTACAACAACAACAACTACTACTACTACTACTACTACTACTGCTGCAACAACTACTACTACTACTACACTGTTGCTGCTTCTTCTACTACTACTACTACTACTACTACTACTACTACTACTACTACTACTACTACTACTACTACTACTACTACTACTACTACTACTACTACTACTACTACTACTACTACTACTACTACTACTACTACTACTACTACTCCATGTTGTATTACTACCTCATTCAAGCATGCGCTTTCTCATTTGTTTCCATCTCTTTTTTTAAACAGAGAACCACGCGAAACATCCAGAGCGAGTTGTACAACCCACACACCATCAACGGCTACAACTACCTCTACTATCTGGCTCTGAGCACGCTGGAGGAGGACAACTTCTGTGACTTTGAGGTCCAGTATGAGGTGCTGCACAACGAAATCCACGGCCTCATTGGAGGTAACGGCACCTACTCAATGGCAACGTTGGATTATTCAGCTTTCGATCCTTTCTTCATCATCCACCACTCAAGCATCGATAGGATCTGGGTCATTTGGCAGGTAAGCGATTTGACTGAAACAAACGTTCTGCTTGTATGTCTTGCATATAGATAATCATTTGTAAACTGGAACAGCTAAGGAATGCAAGGAAAAAGATATGATTTAGCAAACAATGTGTTAAGCTTTATCTTCTTCTGGTTCTTCTTCTTCTTCTTATAGTCCATGCCGTGTGGTGTTGGTTGTCTAGTCACCACTTTCTGACACTTCTGTTAAAGATGATCTTCCATGCCATGATGTCAGACCGTCCAACATCTTCTCTCTCGGGCTCCTTTCTCATCTTCCCCCTCCCTTTCCCACCATCACAATGTTTTACAGATTTCTCCTTTTCATGCCATGATCAAAGAATGTAGACAAAGAGTTGAGATAGTATTATACATCAGACTGAAAAATCAGAAGTAAAAACGTAAATGCAAGACAAGCCAGAAAAGAAACAACACAGCCGTAACCCACCGGGCAGCAGACGAGTCTACAAACATGTATCAATGGAACGTGACCTAGTTAGGCTGGGGAGATTATCGTAGAACTAACTTACTTGTTATATACTGTCGCCCAAGACATTGTGCTACCCCCAGAACAGTTCAGCCCCGTGCAGCTACACACTTGGAGCAGACCTTAATAATGACCCTGCTAACATTCTCACTTATCTTCGCCACTTTATGCAACAGTCGATCAGAAATTGACATTCAACTGTTTGTCTACAGGAGCTCCAGAAACTGCGTCACAAGCCATTCAACTCCGCCCACTGTGGAGGCCACGTCCTGGAGGACCCACTGCATCCCTTCAGCTATGGAGAGATCAACAAGAACGACCTCACCCGGCGCAACTCTCTTCCCAGTGCTGTGTTTGATTACTCACATTTCGGTTATGAGGTGAGCGTTGAAAGCAAGACAACTACTATACAGTATAAATGATTGTTTTATCGTCATTACCATCATCATTATTTGTATTTTTGCAATCGTTACAATGCTTTATTTTATCATCGGTTTCATCACAATTATCATCACTGTGATCATCATCATCATCATCATCATCATCATTATCATCATCATAATGATCATCATTTCATTATCGTCACATTCATCTTTACCAGCACATCAGTATTATTGTCTTCTTTGTGTATTTCTTTCTTTTTGTGCCAGACTTGGCGCAGACAAGGATAATTAGGTACTGTAAAGCAAAGCAAATGACCTTTCTCCCACACCTTAATGTAAATTGGACATATAGGGATTCACTTACATTTGATAGGTCAACCTGCACTCGGCGGTTGACGTGGTCAGCATAATGTCGGCCACCTTTACTTTCCAGACTTTACCTGGCACTTGTTTAAGGCTGGGTTGACCTGGGAGCTTAAGTTATTTTCAAAAGAAAAATAGAGCTGCGTCAGGATATAAACAGGCTACCTTCGAATTCGCAGGAGAGAATCTAGCCACTACACCACTGAGCTTCCTGTGCATAATAATGATTCTTCAATTATATTCTTCCAGCGTTTATTTAGTGATGAATCGTTTTCACAAAATATCAGTTCTAAAGCTGTCCTATTTTCAGTCGACATTGTCTCTTTAGCGTCGGTGGCTTATGCTGTGCGAACGTGCTTCGTAATGCCGGGGTGCCGGGTTCGATCCCAGCTGTGGACGGTTTGAACTTTGGTTTCGACAGTGGTACCGAGAGTTGACCGTCCAGTAGCAATGGCAAACTACTGGACGTAAATGTGCCTAGAATAACCACAACAGTCCCAGAAAAAAAATGCTGAGATTGGTTCTGTGACGTCCTGTAAAGGATACGCCACTAACTTCTTTTTTTTTTTTTTTTTTTCAATTATTTTTTTTTTTTTCAATTTTTTTTTTTTTTTTAACAAATCCTTCGCATTTATGATGTTTTATGTCAGCTACTGATTTTCTCCTCTTAGTTCATGAGGTTAATTAGAACTTTCTTTTAGATAAAAGACATGCAGGAGGAAATAAACATTGTCCATCTATTCCAACAGTTCGACAAGCTGGAGCTGAATGGCCATGACGTCAAAGAGATCTATGAGATCATCAGTGACCTCCGCCACGGCAACAGAGTCTACCTAGGCTTTGTTCTATATGGACAGCAGAGCAGTCTAGAGTACAAGGTCAGTGAATCTGGATAATTTAGGGTGTGTGAATCTAGGTAATTTAGGGTGTGTAAATCTGGGTAATTTAGGGTCAGTGAATCTGGGTAATTTAGGGTGTGTTAATCTAGGTAATATAGTCTGTGTGAATCTGGGTAATGTAGGATATGTTAATCTGGGTAATTTAGTGTATGTGAATCTGGATAATTTGGTATATATTGTACACACGGTGCGGACAACATATAAAACATAGATTGGGTGGGGGGTATAAGATGAAATATATAAACAACCAGGGTGGGATTTAGACATGAGGCCCTAAGGTATATTCAGTACTGAGGCCCCTACTTTGTTAAACTAAATCAGCAAAACTCAAAAGACTTTAACGTGTATATGCCTTTTAAATATAGGGATGATGGAAATATACTGTCGTATAATTTTTTTTAATAAATGAAATAATCATGGGAGAAAAAATATATGTTTGCACAATTATATTATTATCATCCTAGAACGCTCTATTAAAAGAAGACTGCTTTATGATGAAAAATTGGAATTTGTTGAGGCCCCATCAGATTGTGAGGCCCAAGGCTTAAACTTAGCTTTTGCCTAAATCAGCAACGACAGCTACATCAGATTCCAAACAGAGAAAAAGGGAACTCATTTAGCGCCGTTGTGTCTTTTGTTCTGTTAGCCAATTTAATGCGAATGTAATTTTGCTTGCTTCGTGTCATTAGATCGACCTTGTTGACGACCAAGGAGAGGCACACACTGCTGGAAGTTTCCATCTTCTGGGAGGCGAGAGAGAGATGCCCTGGGCTTACGAGAGACTCTTCAAGTATGACGTCACTGATGTTGTCAAGAAGTTCGGAATTAAGACTGACCACCCAGTTAAGGTAAGAGTGCATCGGCGAATCAGGGGAAGTTATCATTGTATTTATTAGTATTGTAAACAATAGCCAAACAATGATATTGAATTTTAAAATAAAAAGCGACATGATAGCACTCAAGACACTCCCACAAGCTCTCCGTTCCCATCATCAGCAGCAAGCAGAGAGTTCCAAGTCTGATGGCAACTGTAACTTTCTAATTGTGTATCCGTCTCCACTTTACCTTGAGTGTTGAGCGTCGGCCACATCCCTTAGTAACTCCTCGCAGCGCTATTTGCCTCAGACCGTAATGATCTATTTGTGCCTTCGCACGGCTGTCGCGCTCTCGAAGGGCCCTCACAACATCTGGATTGCAATACCAATACAAAGCAGACACGTAACAGGCACCAAGAACATGGGAGTTTCCAAGTGAAAAAGTCAGATGAACTTTGTTAGGAAATCATTGTTAGGAAATGTTTGTGAACAAATTCAGGATAGTAGGGAAACATCATGGTCATCTTTATCATTTGGATTCAACTTGGATTCACGTTGGCACAGCGGAGTTGGTGACACCTGCTAATACAACCATTGTGCGATTAATGGGAGGAGATGCAAAGGGTGTTAACAAAATGACAACAGATGAAATAATTTAAACGAATTTTTTTTCTTGGGGGGGGGGGGGGGGGTGTGGAAAGGTCGAGGTCTTATCAGCTTATTGATGTTCTGGGGGGGGGGGCGCTTAAGTCTGGTTTAAGTGAGCAATAACACTTGTGTGCTGATTGATGAACAAAAATATATTAATATGGAAGCTTGGAAAAAGAACTTCTATACGTGTTTGAGTGTGCAAGGCGCTTAGTGCGCTTCTTAAAAGGGGGGGGGGGGGGAATAGATCCCCATTCTAGCGCCCCTGGAGACTTGATAAACCTCTGTGAAATAGACATGACTTAAGGTCAAAGTGTAACTGGCATACATTTCCGTGTCCGTACAGGTGAAGGTCACCAGCACCTATTACAACGGTCAGCCCCACCAGGAGTACACCGATGAGATTGTGGCAGTGGAGAGACACGCTGACGACGATCACGACATTGTGGTCATCCCGGTCAGCAAGGACAACGTCCTAGTGCCTAAGGTAAGCATCTTATGTTATCTGATAGCGTCTGAATGTCTGTGGCAGTCGTATGGCTAGATGGACTGAAGAACGGCTTGTGCCTAACAGGAGTAAATCTGAAGGTGAAGTCGAGCGCTTCGACTTCATTTATTTGGTTTATCCTCAAGTGGCTTGGTCTCTATTCATTGAACACTAGGTCCAGCAAATTTTCCCGGGTACTGTCGTGATAACTGCACTCCTGCACTGAACGACGTAGCCCTAAAACGAAGCCACGGCCTTCAGTGCGGGAGGCAAACGGCTTGATCACTTCGACACGGACCCACTACTGGAGTAAAACAGTCTAGAATACTTGTTTTTACCACTGTTTGAACGGTGTGGGACAGTGAGTGAAGTAGGGCAGACAGGTTATTAAGATATATAGCGCAAACAAACAAAAACAAAAAAAAACCTAGGTTATGGGGTAGGATAGGTGGGTGGAGAAGAAGATTGGCATGGTAAAAAAGAATGTGACAAAGAAATGTATTATCACACAGTAGTTTATTTAGTACTGAAAGAATTAAATCATAAACTACATAATCCTTGGTTGTCATGATGATGCATTAATTTGAAATCCGTATACATCAGACAACAGAATACCACCCTTTTTGGAAGCCTAGGTGTGTCCTGAATGGAATAGTGTCGAATCTTTAGCCAGATGCTTCCAAATAAAATGCTTCTTCTTATGTGTAGCGGTGTTAGTTTTGTCTATCCACAACCTTCTGTGTCGTGTACTTTCAATCAACTCTGACACACACAATGCTCCATACCATGATTTTAAACCGTCCTGCATCTGTTCTCTCGGTCTTCATTCGCCTCTCCTCCTCTCCAACTTTCCTACCGACACGATGTACTCAAGTTTTCTCTTTCTCATCACATGACCAAATTATGTAGACTGTCTCTTTCTGATGTGGGAAATCAGTTCTTTTCGTGAGTCAGTTTCTTTCAAAACTTCTTCATTGCTCTTTCATCTGTTCAGCAGTCAAAATGATATCGTCAGTATATCGCAGGTTGCTAACAATATGCCCACCAACCGCTATTTCTTGCATACCATGTATGGATCTAATTATTATTTCACTGTACACATTGAATAAATCGGGTGATAGTACACATCCCTATCTAAAGCCTTCAGATATAATTACTGTTATGTTATGTACTCCGATATTTTTATTTTGTTTTTTTTTATCCTAAATCAAATTTCTTTGAAATCATTACAAGTTAACATTTTTCTTTCTTGTTTCAGATTGTCGTGAAGAAAGGCACGCGAATTGAGTTTGTCACCAGCGACCTGACTGACCCTATTGAAGACCTAGGCAGCTACACCACACTGCAGAAATGCAAGATCCCTCCCTTCTCCTACAACACGTACGCCTTCAACGTGGTGCACTCACTGAAGCCTGGTGATTATTTCTTCGCGCCCAAGAACGTCGATCTGTGCAAGGCGGGCAGAAGAATTCAGATCACCGTCGAGGATGAATAGATATTGCTGGTACGTACTTGTACTTCATTTGGAATATTTTTTAGAACAATTAGACATGTTTTGAGAATGATGGACTCAAGAATTTGGTAGCTACTGGCAAGATTGATTGAAAGAGAGCAAGAAAAAGACGGAGAAATAAATACCTCACTGACATGGGCAGATGGAGGGGGCAAGACACAAATATTGAACTTATCCATAGTTCTAATGATCGTGTCAGCTGGCAAAATATGACAGTCTACTCTTACCAGCGTGGCACATGATGATGATAATTTTTTTTTTTTTAACTGTGTAAGTGCAAGCTTCAAGACTTTGATGGAACCGACAAGTTAAATGTTCATTAGTTTTTAAATGGAACAGTGAATGATAATTTATGTGGTCACCGGCACACAAACAGAGTAGTTATGGGGCCTCACGTCTGCATTGATCCGAGAATCTTGACTAAGGACTAACGACAAAGTCTTACTGTATATATTGTACATGATCGTTTGCGGATCGACAAACATGATCGGACTGCAAGAGCTGCGAGTCCAGAATGGTGAAGCTAGACTAGAGATCTTAGCAAAGAGGCCAGGGAACAATTAGTAAAGCACTCAGAACTGGGTAGTTGCCGATTAATTAGGTTATAACTAACTAGTTACCTAACTAGAACTGACGTAGACAGTCGCCACAAGCTGGAGGATAAACTTAGGAAAGATTCAAGCACCTCTTTATGAATGGTTTCATGTGACATTTCTGTTAGGACTTCTCTCTTCTTGTGGCGAAACGGTTAGAAGCTTCAAAAGTCTTTGGTTCGAATCCACATAGAATTAAGTTCTCACTAGAAAAAGATCTTATTTTTTAATAGCCATAAGCAATATTGGGTCAGACTGTTTGCTTCAGAGATGTTCAATACAATATGGAAAACAAGGGATCGTTGGGGCGGGAAATGGGGTGGGGGGGGGGGGGGGGGGAGATATAAGTATTTTTAATGTATGCACATTGTTAAAAAAAAATATGAGGTTTTGAACTCAGAATAACGTAGAGCACGAAGAAGAGTAATCGATATCATGCCTTACCTAAACATCAAGGAGAACAGGCTGGTAAAAGGCATCCTCTAACGAAATTGAAACATTGTGGGCATGCCAGGCTCCCTTGTGTCTTCTAGAAAGGACGGTGATGGAGGGTGCTGTTTCCAGAAAACGCGACAGAGGCCGACCCCTGAGAATGTGGATACAGGAGACTGAAAATACATTGGCTATAAAAGCACACAGGGCTAGAGGAAATGAGAGACATTCAGGCATGGCGTGAAGATAGCGACGTTCTGTAAAATACATGCTTTACTAGACTTAGTGCTTGCTTTCTCCTTTTTGTGTGTGAGAAAATACAAACAGAAATTTGCCTAATCATTACTTTTTAAATTTATTTCATTTCCCAGGTTGCATCTGATTTCGCTAGAAAGGAAGTTGTGAGGTCTACAGTAACCAATTATCTATTCCAAACAGTCGCAGACAGCACGTTGCACAAGCTACACACGCACGGATGTGTGTATCTATCA